AGGACAAATAAACTGTGTATCTCTCTTGATTGTCAATCAAAACAAAATCATTGGCTTCTTAGTGTTGATTTACTTAAAATTATATATTATTTTATACACTAACATCTTCCTTAAGATTATTATATATTACATAGTTTGTACATATTTTAAATTTTGGATGTATTTACTTTTTGATTTAAGCGTCAAACAAATACTAGTCCTTTTTTTTTCTATAAATGAAAATGTTCTTGTATTCTAATGACATCGTCCCTGGTGTCAACTGCATTCAAGTTACATATGTTGCTACCTTTTATGCTTTTGATAATGGTAGGATATAGATATATAGATATAGCATACCATTCAGTCTTTAACAAATACTCTAGTTCAGGGAAACAATGCGCATGTGCAAGATCGATCGTGATTTTGCGTTATCGACTGATTAGGTACGAGATTTGATGAACTGGGGGCATTATCGGTTTATTGATTTATCAGATCGGCATCGTTATTACTGTAATCAGATTATTTATAAAAAGTGATTGATTACACTGACAGATTAAAACAGACTATTTTGACTGTTATGTTACTTAATCTTAATTACAAAAGAAACGGTTTGATATGTCACCTGACTTTGCGTGTCACCTTCACGCAAAAATGGACAGATTCATGCTGTGAAGTTCACTTAGCAGATATATTCAATAAGTTACGAATGCTATTCATTACCATATCTTAGGTCATAAAAATAAAAGTCAATCAACACCTAGGCCATATGGTATCATGAAGTTTTACCTTAAACTATGTATCTCACCAGGCGACAGTTGGACAAAATTAATATACCCTTAATAATTATAATCATGTTCTGACAGTTACCGTTAAAACATATGTTCAAAATACTAGCCCTGATTGCATGCGTGTATTAAATTTACATAAAGGTATCGTGCTTTATTCAAATGCATCAGATATTGACAATTTTGAAAGGAGTGGGATCTGGGTCGTTCACCATATCTTGTCTTATCGTGAAGCATACGTAATATAGTATGCAGAATATCTAACTAATTTCAATGAGATTTTATAAGATCTTAAACAGAATAAAAGATACTTTTTATATTTTTTTATATCTTCAGAAAGTAAATTTTCACACATATATATAGTTTGGCATTTGTTTACATAATTTTAGTGAACAGTTCTGTTGTATATTTATTTTTGTGTCAGAAAATTCACGTTAATAGGTAGAAAAATGATAATAAATGTGAAAAATATATTGTTATATTACAATTAGTTTAGAAAAAAGTACACCCCCTCCCCCCGAAAAAAAAAACCGATTGTCGTCTTATCGAAAGCAAGGAGATCTTTTGACATACATCCTTCTTTTTGTCAAGCTTGCGAAATTTATTTTGCGAAAGCGAGACTTGGCGATCCTAGATTTTGTCGTCAGCGTTAACGCCGGCTGCGTCAACATTTAGGTTCAGTCTGCGGTTAAGTTTTGTTTTACATCAAAATCTTTGTCAAACATAATGGAATTTCAGGAAATTGGAACAGAAGCTTCTTTATGACCAAAATACAGTATCCAGGACAAAATTTTGCAAATTTTTATTTTCATTTTCCCGTATTTTATTACTAAATGGACTTCGTTTTTCTTTAACAGTTAAATTCAGGTTTTGTCTAAGGTTAAAGTTTTTCATGCATTCATCAACAACCGTTTTGTTTAATCGTCCAGTTGCAAGTTATATGCATATCCATGCAGGTCAAGATCATGATAATGATATATGAATGTTGAAACTGTTTTGCTCTACATTGCGCTGGACTTTTCACTTATTTGTTCAAGATGCAACAGTCCGAGTAAAGACATTGTATAGCTTATTAGTGGGTGTGGCTTTTTTGCTAAGAGTTTAATTCCATACGACGAACTGTACATAGCTGTTTGTTTTTATGGGAACTTTTTTTATTATGGGTTGAACAAGGAACGTATATACTATTTTAAACGATCAGACTATTTATACAATATTGAAAACATAACATTTATGAAGCTAGAGTTATAGGTTATTGAATACTTCGCATAATATCATTCATGATATCGACTAGCTTTGTGTTATGACAAGAAACAACTTTTCAAAAAGCTCCGTTTTACATGACAATCATATGGTTTAAATTGTTAACCTATATCCGACCGACACAAGCCAAAGAGAATAAATTATGTAGTGTCACCGTTGAATGATATACTGTTTTGGCAATTAATGCCATTACGTCAGCATGTATCAGGAAATTATTCTCAATCTCCAAATATGATATTTCTGCACATAAACTTCCTCGAAGTTCTTGGAAGCTTCCAGGGACTTGTAGGCCCTCGTTCCTTCTTTATCATTTCGTTTTGGTTATTTGCAAGGTAAATTTCAAGTTTCTTTCAAATTTCTTTCCCAATTTTCTCCCGTAATTTTCAAACACTATAGGTCTCGAAATTCTACACAATATTTTTTTTTACTTTATTTAACATAAACATAAACCAAAAAACAGATGACACTCAACGACTTCACAGGTAAACGGGAAAGCGGCGGGCATCCTTAACATCGAATATTAATTTGTACATGATGACTGTGCCCCCAGTTCATCCAAATCTCGCATATTCTCGCATGAATTTTAATTAAACGCTTGACCCACTCAGAATTCTAGGTCGCGAACAAGCTTTCCCTGAACTAGAGTATTCAATCTTCATTTTTAGGAGGGTCGTAATGGGTGTACCTTCATGACGAATAACGGTAAAAAATCTTGCCAAATGACGTTAACGGTAATTTTTGGTGCATGACGATAAATTGTACATTTTCTTTATGACGATAAAAAACAAGAGGCTCTCTTCATGAGAGTGTAATAGAGTATTACTTTCTGTTGAGTGGAAATATGAAATAGAAGTCTATACGTTCTTGCTCAATCCTTTGTCGCTTTGAAGGCGTCATACTGGTCATCCTCTGCCTAAACAATGTGTTACTGTAATTTGAATTTCAAAATGACTGAGTGACGTTTCAAACGTACTGATCAACTCCACCGTAGCGAAACACATGACTGACATAATCAATAATATATTACAGTAAATACGAGCGAAAAATATCTTTATAAGTAAAGAATTGTCGCATAAAAATTAAATACACGGCCGGGAAATGGCAAAGTTCACGAAGTCTAGTCTGATTCATCATTTTACAAAAAAAAAAGTTCAAGCAAAAGGGGGGGGGGGGGGGCGTATGCCCTCTACGCCCCCCTCTGGATCCGCCACTGACAAGTGCCTGTGATCCGATCGCAACAGAAAAGAAATAGTTTCCCGCCTTTTTCTTCATTAGTTCAAGCTATTCGGAAACCATCAGTAACTTTCATAAGCAACTATTAACTGGAGGATCATTTGAATAATATTTTTCACTGTAGTCTGTAAGTATTTCGCACATTTGGTGTTCTCACATCGAACATGTACATAAAACAGTACGATATCATAATACTCCCATGGGAGGCCTGTACTATAAAGGAAGAAGAAGGAAATAAGAATTGAATATCCTTATTTTAAAAGTGTTTGTGATGTTACCCTAGTTATGGTTTTTTTCCCTAAAAAAATATTCTGATCCCCAATTTGATGAAAAAAATATATTGTGGTCAAGCAGATGACAAAAAAAAAAATATTCTGAATCCAGATTTTCCCGATACCTTTTAGTGTTAAATTTTGAAAAAAATAATTGATTGATAGCCTCGAAAAAAACTAAAAAAAAATTCTGACTCGGACAAAAAACCATAACCCCCCTTGAAGTTAAAGGTTTCTCCCTTACTGGCCTGAGTTTATCTTATCAGGTTTATTGGGCAAGGGAGATAACCCAAACTGCACAAATATCTAGATTTATTACATTGGTAGCATTGAATTAAATTGATTTCCCGTCAAATAAAAACCGATAATTTCACATGTGAAATAAACGTGGTTATTTCACTCTCTGACGTCATACAACAATAGGCGTTGTCAAGACGTTGATAACATCGGATCAAAACAAATTGTGAATGGGTAGAAAAAGATATAGTTCCTTACATTTTCTACATTAATTTCATTAAAAAAAGCCATTTGCCAATGTAATAAAAAGAATAACTAATCAAAGAATTCAAATATCGAAAAATATTCAACTCGTGACCGAACAACACTGATAATTAACTCATGCGCTACGCGCATTCGTGAATTAATGTGTTGTTCGGTCACTCGTTGAATATTTTTCTCTATTTGAATAAGATTATAGTTATTCTATAAATATATTTTAATTTTCTAACAGAGTTTATGCTATTCTATGGTTTTTCGATAAGATTAATATCAACTGGAACAGAAGAATAAAAGAAAATACACCAAATAAGTGGCCCAGGATGGCATAATATTATTTGTAGCACAATTATATTCAATCTAAACAATAAACATGAAAAAAAAACCAATAAATCAGTCCGTTAGTTTTGTTTGTTGAATTAATTTACATTTGTCATGTCAGGACCTTTTATAACTTGCTATGGTATGGGGTATGGATTTTGCTCATGGTTGAAAGCCGTATGGTGACCTAGTTCACCACATCACCACATCTTATTTTTATGTAGAGCAGTTTATACTTCATTTTGTATATTTTGTAATATTGACTTGATATGTTATGAAACTTAAGGTGAATAAAATAATCGGTGTGTAATAATGCAGATTAAGCATAGAAATGCAAAATATTTGTAACCAATACAGAAATTATTTATCTACAGCATCTTGAAAAATCTGACTGACAATTTCTTATATCTGGATTCTGATCTTTGATATATAATTTCTTCTCTTTTTTAATTGTGCACAACAATATAAATCATTCAAGTCCGTAGAATCATTTGTTATATCAGCTGCTTCAATAGGAAATGCCTTTATTTAAGTAACTACTTAATATAGTCTACAATTTTATAACACTATTCACAAAAATATAAAGATTGAGCAACATCAACCATTTTAAACAATTATAATATAATTTGGGAATTGCCTTGTTTGCTTTCAGATTGCCAGGAGGAAACGCCTGACCCTGAGCTTCATCCGTTAGATGGATGGTATAATAATCTTATTAACCCAGACTGGGGTGCAGTTGGTTAGTATTTTGACTGTAAGATGAATGGCACATAACAATCATATTAATTAGCCCAGGCTGAGTTGCTGACTTATATGAGTTGTACATAAGGGACGACATCAAAAGTTCAATGTACATGTAGGATAAAAAACTTAATTCACATAGATTTTTCACTGACCCCACCCCCCATCTTAAATTAATTTGGGAAAAATTGATTGACCAATATGGGCATATGCTTTTCAGAGTATACTTTTTGTATCATGGGTCCTGTTTTTCCTCAACAATGTATGTTTGTTCTGTATATTGACTTGGACATCACTTTTAAAAAATATTGGAATAAAGTGATGTGTATTTTTAGTATGCATCAAAAAAGGCATTGTTAAATTATAATTTTATAAACACTACAGTCAGTATGGATTCTGCATTTTTCATCCGTCCACTATTGGCATGGGTAAATAGTGGGTTTATGGTTTTGATTGTTTTTGTTTCTTTTCTCAAATGAATATAAAACAGTTCATTGTTTCATATAAAATATATAGCTTTAAACTAAATAGTGGTCCATTGAAAAGTATGGGGATGACAGGGCAGTGCATTTGTGCCAACTGTGGAGAGAGAGAAAAACACAATCCCAAATGAATTTTTATTCAATGTCTGTTGACCACTGTCATATTTCTCTACTATCTCAAGAAATTCTATATACCGGCAACTTCAAATTTGTATTTGAATTTATATTTCAGTTTTCATTTCAATAATTAAATAATTAACACAATTCATAGAAAATTTTATAGTTTGTTTTTGGAATGCCACCATGCCGTGTGGACCAAAACAATCTGTGTTGATCTGTATATGGTTTCATATCATTCGAAATTCATGATCAATAAAGCGTTTGAAGGACATAGATACTATGATTAATTTCGTCCCAATACATTCGGCCAAAAAATTGCTTTCCGGTACGATTTGATGGCATTCATTTGGTTTAAAAGTCCAAACATATGGTAGGGCCGAACTTGAATCCGTATTTTTCAACCCGAAAATCGATGTTGGATAACAAAACTTGCAACGATTTTTACCCCCCACCCCCAAACTATTTGAATTAAGTTTTTTATCCGACATCGATCTTTTGATGTCGTCAGGGACGATCATATTATCTCTGGTGGCTGTGATAAGATGGATTGCACCTAACAATCTTATTACCCAAGTTTTGTTACCAAGGCATCAATCACCTTGGAAGACTATAAGCAGTTCTTTTATAATTCAGAAAATTATTTAAATGCATGGAAGATAAATGTTTGAATATACAATATAAGTGATTAAACAGAAATGTTTTATTGATCCCAAAAGTGACAATATTTACAGATTATCCATGGTTTTTCAAATGAGTTTGAAAAACAATCGATAATCTGTTTATCGCTATTTTGTATATGATGTCGTTGATGTTTACATTGACAATGTCACGTGCACCCTTAGTTTCTAATGAGAACTTTCTATCTCAAGTAAGTAGCACAAAAGAGATTAAGGGAAAAATACACAAAATAGCGATAAATCATTATTATTATAGCGATATCATCATTGTGCTGAAATTCTTTTTGAGCACCCAAAATTCGCAGACTGTTTAATTCTATAGTGACTGCATAAGGCCTTAATTCACACCTGCCACTCTTTAATTTATAATGAAAGTACACTCTTCCATGAGGCAGTCACCAACATAAAGTCATTTCTCCTACAGAAATTATTATTCTTTGTTTTTTGTTAAATTATTAGGTTCATTGCTGATTGTAGATTTTCAATTCTGAAATCTGCCACACTTGTTCATATGACTGATTTCAACAACATTCATTCAGAAACGTAACAATTTTACACCACAAAAGTAAGAGGCCATTTATAGGGTGAACCTTTAAAAAAAGCAGTTTTAAAAATATTGAAAAAAAGAATAATACCGGTACACAAAATGAGTATAAAATTGTTTAAGAATGGATTACAGCAAAGCCTAACATTTTCCAATTTAAAGCATCACTCTTATATCATAAGGTCACATCAGCACTATAATTGTCTATAGTAACCCTAAATCTTACCATTTTTTGGTAAAAAAAAAAGGTGTTTTTCATGAGAACAACATTTTGCTGAATGTATTTCAATAGCCATGCTAGTAGATAAACACCTATGATAAATAATTATAGATTATTTTTGGTTTTTCAAACGAGAGGGTGTTTCTCAGCAACAATCTCAAGGAAGGGCTAAAGCCCTGAGATTAGATGTGGACGAGAAAAAATCCTCGAGTTTGAAAGACCATTGATAATCTGCTATTTTGCCTATGACGTCGTTGATGTTTACATTGACAAAGTAACATGCACCCTTAGTTTCTGACGATCATTTTCTATCTCAAGCTAGTAGCGTGATATGAAAATTTATCACAAAAAAAGATCATAGAAAAAATACGCAAAATTATAAGCAATAATGCATAATAAATGCCAGGTATGTGGTCTGGCCTTATTTCTATCACTGTATTATTGTGAATTTTTATACGACCGCAAAAATTAAAAATTTTTTGGTCGTAAATTGGTATGACGTTGGCGTCGTCGTTGTCGTCGGCGTCGTCCGAAGACACATTGGTTTTCGCACTCTAACTTTAGTTTAAGTGAATGGATCTCCATGAAATTTTACCATAAGGTTCAATACCACGAAAGGAAGGTTGGGATTGATTTTGGGGGTTATGGTACCAACAGTTAAGGAATTAGGGGCCAAAAATAAGCATTTTTGTAACTTCCAGGCAATAACTTGTGTGTAAGTGTATGGATCTCTCTGACATTGTACCACAAGGTTCCATATCACAAAGGGAAGGCTGTAATTGATTTTGGGGGTAATTGCCTCGAAATTTTAGGAATTAGGGGCCAAAAAAGGGGCAAAAAACAAGCATTTTTCTAGTTTCATGACAATAACTTGTGTGTAAGTGTTTGGATATTTCTGAAATTGTACTACAAGGTTCCATATCACAAAGGGAAAGCTTGAATTGAGTTTGGGGGTAATTGCCCAAAACGTTTAGGAATTGGGGGGCCAAAAAGGGGCCAAAAATAAGCATTTTTCTAGTTTCCAGACAATAACTTGTGTTCAAGTGTATGGATCTCTCTGAAATTGTACTGCAAGGTACCATACCACAAAGCGAAGGCTGGGATTGAGTTTGGGGGTGATGAATAATAAGGGGGTTCAAAAAATTTTGGGGGGGGGGATTTTTTTTTTTTTTTTTTTTCTTTTTTTCCTTTTTTTTATCTTTTAAAATTTTCCAATTTAAGTTGGTTATTTCTGATTTATATTTAAAAGCAAATAATAATGATATGGTAGGAGATACACACCAAACAGGATGTGTAAATTATTATATAATGAGTATTGTGCAATAGCAAGAAATTTTCAATTGCACAGTATTGCACAATAGCAAGAAATCTTCAATTGCACAGTATTGCGCAATAGCAAGAAATCTTCAATTGCACAGTATTGCGCAATAGCAAGAAATATCCAATAGCACAATATTGCGCAATAGCAAGAAATTGTCAATTGTACAGTATTGCGCAATAGCAAGAAATATTCAATTGCACAGTATTGTGCAAAAGAAGATACTTTGTATAAATTGCTTATTTCTTGATCAATTTCAATGGGGTTTTATTCTTGAATTCTTGGGGTTCTTTAATATGCTGAATCTAACCGTGTATTAAGTTTTTGGATTTTGGGCCCCGTTTTTAAATTGGTCCACATTGAGGTCCAAAGGGTCCAAAATTTAACTTTGTTTGATTTCATCAAAAATTGAATTATTGGGGTTCTTTGATATGCCGAATCTAACCGTGTATTTAGATTCTTAATTTTTGGTTCCGTTTTCAAATTGGTCTACATTAAGGTCCAAAGGGTCCAAAATTAAACTTAGTTTGATTTTAACAAAAATTTAAATTTTAGGGTTCTTTGATATGCTGAATCTAAACATGTATTTAGATTTTTGATTATGGGCCCAGTTTTCAAGTTGGTCAAAATCGGGGTCCAAAATTAAACTTTGTTTGATTTCAACAAAAATTGAATATATGGGGTTCTTTGATATGCTGAATCTAACCATGTACTTAGATTTTTGATTTTTGGGCCCCGTTATCAACTTTGTCCACATTGAGGTCAAAAGGGTCCAAAATTAAACTTTGTTTGATTTCATCAAAAATTGAATTCTTGGGGTTCTTTGATATGCTGAATCTAACCATGTATTTAGATTTTGGATATTGGACCATAATAGGTGAATGTCCAATTTAAATTTTTTAAGTTCTTAGACCACATTCATTCTGTGTCAGAAACCTATGCTGTTTCAAATATTTAATCACAATCCAAATTCAGAGCTGTATCAAGCTTGAATGTTGTGTCCATACTTGCCCAGGGTTCGACCTTTGCGGTCGTATCAAGCTGCGCCCTGCGGAGCATTTTATTTTTATTTGTTTCAGTAATAAAAAGATTTACAATAGGTAAATTTATCAGTATTACACATGCCCTGCTAAGGTATGCATTATTTTTATAGATACTCATCTGTTACGAAAAAGTAAAGTTGGTTATGCTGATGGAGTATATCACATGGCCGGACCCATGCGGCCAAATCCTTTCGAGATCAGTAGTGCAGCACTTAGAGGACCAATGGGACTTGGATCACCAAGAGGAAGAAATGCTATGATTACTTATTTTGGTAAGATTCTTGTGAGGATTATGTTAGCATATTTATTTAAATGTAGGTTTATTTTATATTCATTTATACCACATTCAAAATAATTAGTTTGTTAAAAAAGATTCACTTTGTTTCTTTTTTGTGAATAATATTATTCATGTATTCCAAGAGAATTTAATATTAAATGATTCAGGATTTTAGTAGAAAATGCATTTGATTCCTCAAGGAATATATATTACTGAATAAAAAGAGATGTCTTGTATAGGTCAATTAGGCTGCAAACCAACAACACAAATGTTTCAACATTCCTGAAAGACAAATAGAGGCCAACATACAGTAATTAACAATAGGTGTTTATGCAATAAAACTCTAAATCTTCTTGAGTCATCAAAAGTTGTTAATACATATGAGTGGTTTTCTTTACTTATTTTACTGCTCTGATATTTGATTTACCTATTGTTAATATATTTGAGTGATATTCTGTACTCATTTTACTGATCTGATATTTGATTTACCTATTGTTAATACATTTGAGTCGAATTCTTTACTCATTTTACTGCTCTGATATTTGATTTACCTATTGTTAATACATTTGAGTCGAATTCTTTACTCATTTTACTGCTCTGATATTTGATTTACCTATTGTTAATACATTTGAGTGATATTCTTTACTCATTTTACTGCTCTGATATTTGATTTACCTATTGTTAATACATTTGAGTCGAATTCTTTACTCATTTTACTGCTCTGATATTTGATTTACCTATTGTTAATACATTTTAGTCGAATTCTTTACTCATTTTACTCAGCTCTGATTATTGATTTACCTATTGTTAATACATTTAGTGGTTTTCTTTACTTATTTTACTGCTCTGATATTTGATTTTCCTATTGTTAATACATTTGAGTGGTATTCTGTACTCATTTTACTGATCTGATATTTGATTTACCTATTGTTAATACATTTGAGTGGTATTCTGTACTAATTTTACTGCTCTGATATTTGATTTACCTATTGTTAATACATTTGAGTGGTATTCTGTACTCATTTTACTGCCCTGATATTTGATTTACCTATTGTTAATACATTTGAGTGGTATTCTGTACTCATTTTACTGCCCTGATATTTGATTTACCTATTGTTAATACATTTAGTGGTTTTCTTTACTTATTTTACTACTCTGATATTTGATTTACCCCTGAAGGGTCATGGTACTCTAAATTTGTGTTCATCTTTTTTAATACCTTTAGTTGAATGATTTGTCTTGCCTGCAGCAAATGTTGTGTAGCAAGAAATGGGTATTACTTCTTTAATGACATCATGGTCATAGTTGTCATCACTTAATGTTGAGTCCATTCCAGAATAAGTACTTAGGATATTTCATTGATATTTTGTGAACAGGAACATCAGCATCTGTGCATCTCATTTGCTTACAGCATATCAGGCGGCATGATCAGTGACTTTAAAAATTTGAGCATAAAATTTTTTGACATGATGATTAGGCATATTTATAGGATGAAGTATTTATGATATAGCATTAAAAAAATGTTGTGCTGTCACACTCTCTGTACAATGCATACAGCAGGGCGTTTACTGTCATTTAATTAGTGATAAGATAACAGCATCATTCCTAACTTGAAAAATTGGGCTTTTTTCTTTAAATGTTACGAAAACAGAACAGCTGAAAACAAGATCTACTTTGGTGAGTTCCAAATTTTATTCATTACTTCTGTCCTGAGCAGTGTACTATATAAAAATAAGGAGATGTGGTATGATTGTTTTTCCAAAAACGTTTTCATGAACAGTTATTATGCTGCTATAAAATTTTAGGTCAGCAAGTTGTAGAAGAAATCATGGATTCTCAGAGACCTGGCTGTCCTAGAGAATTTGAAAATATTGATGTACCTAAGGGTCATGACCTCTTCGATATAGAGGGTAAAGGCAATGTACAGTTACCATTTTTACGGTCTCGATATGACTTCAGAACAGGACAATCACCTAATAACCCTAGACAACAGGTACTTGTATTACTTACTAATGTATGATAATGGGCATCTCCTTCAGTTGTGCCCATTTAAAAGAAATATCTATCAGATGGTTAAATTCTAACTGCTAGTTGATGTATACTTTCATTTTTTATCAGCAGTATAAAGTTCATTGAGCAGTAATTGGCTCCGAGTTGTTTCTGATTACCAAATGTCAGCTGTTCCAATTCTGAAGAAGGTTACACACTTATGGGATGTGGGATATAGGGGATTAAAAAAATGGGGATGTGGGATATATATGTAGGGAAAAAAAGTGGGATCTGGGAAAAAAGGGTGAAAAGTGTGAAAAAAAATTACAAAAAAGTTGGATTTGGGAAATGAGAACCTCTGTCTCACTCCCTTAATTGCTTTTAAAAATTTCATATGAAAAAAAAATAGATAACTTCAAATTTTAATAGACATAATAATGTTTAAAGTTATAATAAAAGTTTTTAAGGGACCAGTTTGCTAATTTAAGTAAATTTTTTGAAGTGATGTTTTTTTAATTTTATGAAACTAACTTGATAGTGATGTTTATAGATATCTGAAATAACACCATATATTGACGGTCAACTAATGTATGGACCAGCAAAAGCATGGACAGATGCTATAAGGGAATTCCGTGGAGGACGACTGAAAGCATTAGATGATAAACCACATCCTATAAGCATGAGCTTACCCGATAGAAATAACATCAGATTACCATACGCCAATCCACCCAATCCTAGAGAAACAACAAGAGAAACTAGACTCAGAGGTGTTAATAGATTTTGGAGTAAGTGTCATTCAAACCTGTTTTCATGATTGTAGAAGTGCTTCTGGTTATACTTTTATATACTGCAAATTCAGAAATTTTTGTAAGGTTTTTATAATTGCTTAAATAGAAAAGAGATATGTTATGCAAAAATACAAACTTTTATTATTTAAAAAAATTTAATTATATCATTAGAAATGGTAGCATTATTTATATGCAGCCTTACCTTAATTACTATAATTAATCTGGCATTTTTGTCCATGGTTCAACATTTGCATTAATAAATGCAAGCAAAAAATTCTGAATTTACAGTCGTTCATTTATTCAAAAGTTGAATTAATGTTTGCATTCCCATTTATGTGAAGATAAAGTAAGTATAAAAACTGGTATTAATTTCGTAGAGTACTGTGGATACATTATAATTTGTGGAATACCAATAATCATGGATCTGTGGTTATAGGTAAACAAAGAAATCAAATATTCAACTAAGTACAAATATTCTATAGGCATGTATGCAGACTTGGGCAAAACCATGAAATCAAATATCCACGAAGATACAATTTTTCCTCAATCCACAAAAATTCTTATCAACAAAAATAAATGAATTCACAGTAATAAATATGTATAAAATATTTGCCACCGAATGTTTAGCAAACAACAACCTTTTAATTGTTCATGCAGATCAAATTGGACACCTTTACCACTATGTATGTATGTAACTCATCCTGATCAGGTATATTATTACTGACAGAGTATTTATAATCTTTCAGGACTTGGTAATCCTAGAGGTTTTGAAAACCCATTTTTGCTGTCATTTGGAGTACTTTGGTTCCGATTACATAACTTCTATGCCAACAAGACTGCCACCAACAATGGATGGACATCAGATGAAGATTTATTTAAATTTGATGAGAGAATATTTAACCAAGCTAGGAAGATGGTTGTTGGTATTTACCAGGTAGGCACCTTGATTACTGTTCTGTTTATTCTCGCATGCAAACCTCTGTTAGTTTGTCCTTTTGTCTGTTCATCCCTTATCAGGTTTACGATTTGATTTAATTAAGGGAGTTTGTGATCACATCAACTTGAAACTTAGTACATTCATTATAATGTGAACTTTTTAAGATATATGCCAAAGAAGGGTTTTGACCAGATTTCACGGTTTACTGAACCTGGAAATGTGATATTGTAAAATCAGTACATTCGTTGGTTTAAAAATCATCTGTTGCAATTACTTGGCATCTGTTATTGCTTTTGTCCATTTAAATTTGAATAACATCGTCTCCTTTTAAACTTACTGGGCCTGTTAGAACTAAACTTTGCCACAATCATCCTTGGGGTATTTAGTTAAAAAAATATGTCATATGATTTTGTCTGCCAACCAACATGACCCCCAATGCTAAAAATAGAACATAAGTGTAAAATGCAAGTAATTTTTTAATTCCTTGAAAACCGTAATCTGGCATACTAAATCAAGATCTACCTGATGTTCTCTTTGAACAAAATTATGCATCTTGTTATAGAAGTTGTTGCCCTTAAATGATGATTTTTTTTTGCGAATTTTTTGCTTTTGGTATATTATTTTCAAAAACTTTAAATACAAAAAGTCATTAGCAAGACAAGATCAGCAAATAAGTTAACATGGCTAAAATCATCAGTCTACTATTATTTGGAGTTAATGCCCTTAAGATATAATTTTAACTAATTTTTGCAACAATGCTATAATCTTGAAAATTATTATGAACAGAGAGAATCTTAAGACAGCAAAAAGGATCAGCTAGACAAGATCTTCAAATAAGTCAATATGGCCAAAATTTTCTGTCAACTTCCTTTAGGAGTTATTGCCCTTGCATGATGTTTTTATCTCTTTTTTCATTTTTGGCAAAGATGATAAAAGGTAGAGAGATACATTAAAACAGCAAACATTATCAGCAAAATAAGATATAACTAGTAATTAAGGACTGAGATTGTCAGTCAATTCCTTAAAGCAGTTAGTGCTCTTCAATGATAATGATTTTTACCCATTGTTTAGGTATTTGGCAAAAACTATTATAGATAGAGAGAAACTGTAAACTCGAAAAGAATCAGATAGACAAGATCTCCAATTAAGTCAATATGATGGAAATAGTCAGTACATCTTGAAGGAGTGATTTCCCTTCAATATAAATTTTGCAAAAATATAATATATAGAAATCAAGAGAAAATGTAAAAAGAAGATAAGTAAGACGATACCTACAAATAAGTCAATAATCTCTAAACCATCAGCCAACCCCAATAAGGAGTTATTGCCCTTTCAATGACAATTTTTACTCATTTTCTGTGTTTAAAAAAGAATTGAAAGTTAACAGGAAAATCTTTCACTTGGAAAGAATGATAAACTGCATGCTATATAAACAGGGTGTTATTTTATGTTTTAAATTTATAAGGAAATTTAGCCTTCCGTCTGTTATTGTTCATCCTGTCAGTATTATGTCAATAAAACCTCCTTTTCAGTACATGTTGATATGTCATCACTCAAATTTCATCTAAAAAAAAAAGTATCCACTATCTTGAGTATATGAATTTTTACTGTTTTTTTGTAGAAAATTGTGTTTTATGATTGGCTACCAAGATGGTTGAAAATAGAAAGTAATAATCAGACATTCTTTGACCTTTCAGCAAGAATACCATATAGAGGTTTGTAATAATAAGTTCATTTTAAGCACCATTTGTAAACAAGCTTTATTGAGGTGTAATACCACCAAATCATAGTACGTCACATCCGGTTGCATACGAAAATAGGTCAAAAAAATATTTCCCTTGAATTTGACAGTTGTAGGTAATTGATCCTACATTTCATTGCAGTAAAACATTTCTGAGTCATAAACATATATCTTGGGTATTTCAAAGCACCATTATTTCTTTATTTGGGGTTTCTATAGAATATTTTGGAAACTTGAGGTTACATGGTTACTAAAGCTTGTACACAGGTTAAAAAAGGGGGGAAATTTGATTGGTTAACTTCCAGTGATGGTTATTTTCTTATATGCAATGAAATGTTATGTGAAATTTTTTCTATAGTACTGGACAGGATAAAACTTTACTCATGCCAAGTATTTGTTTATTTGAAACAAAGATAAATTCTGCACAATTTTTTGAAAAGTGCAAATTTAACAAAGACTAATAGGGGAAAATCAATGGTGGTATTACACCTTGAGGAAATCTTAATTTGAGATATAAAACTTAAAATCATTTAACCTATAAATGTTTGTACACTTTCAGTGGAAGACTAATTTCTGTTTTCAGCGGAGAACCTATAACCAGTGAATATATTTCAGTACATGAATAACTTGCATGTCCCATTACACAAGCATTTCTATCTTTAAACACTGTCAATATACTGATGTTATTCATGCTTTTTGTAGAAATGATTTGTCATAATAAATTTTGTGTTTTTGGCTATGATTTGACTTTATTACCATTGATAAAACATGACTTTGTTAGCTTTGTTGTGACAACCATTGATAACACATGACTTTGTTAGCTTTGTTGAGACAACCATTGATAAAACATGACTAAGTTGTTAGCTTTGTTGAGACAACCATTAATAAATCATGACTTTGTTAGCTTTGTTGTGACAATGTCAAAACTTTGCTTATGATATGACAAATTGTCTGGACATCAACAAATCTGTTTCAGGACGAAATATTTTGAACCATAAGGAAAATTCATTTTCAACCTAATTTTGGTGAAAAATGTGACTTTTCGTTTCAATTTTTTTTTCCATATTTTGTGGCAAATAAAGCAGAATGTGGATGCACAAAAAAAGAATACTATATCACATCATTAACTAATGAAAAATCTAATATGACATGCTATTTTCACTTTGTTAACAACAGCGTGATAAAATTCTAAATATATATAATTAGTGCAGCCTCAGAAATAATCATATTAATGACTATTACAATTTACATCCAAAGTAAATCCACATGTATCGTAACCTATGTGCAAATCGCTCGTGATAGAATTTGAATATAAAGGCTGAAAATGTGGAAATTTTAAAACAAATCTATAGTTTGCATTAGTTATTTCTTAATCTTAAACTTGATTTAATAATGCCCCAAAAGATATTATAATTAATTTTTTTGTTTTAGGATATTTTCTGATTATACTGTCGAGTCTGGCATTGTGTAACTACATATATTGAGTAAGTTATGATTTGTTTTGTGTTGTAGGTTATGATCCAACAGTTCACCCTGGTATAACACATGAATTTCAGACATCAGCAATGAGATTTGGACATACACTAGTGACACCTGGTCTGTGGAGAAGGTAAGCATCAAGGGAATGTACCCTCCACATAGGAGTAAAATATTTTTTAATAGTTCCAAGAAGTGATGGCCAGAGTTCGTTGATGGGTAATCTTTTTAAAAAAATATTCAGATTGAAACAGGTTAATGTGATTTGAACATGAACAGTGTTAACTCGTTTTAGTCAGTAGGAATATGAATAAGATGATACTATTATCATTTAACAGAACTTTGCTGAAGTAAACAATTCTGAATTTGTATAACAGAGCTGCTTGGAAGTAAATGATACTGCTATTATGTAACAGAGCTTCTCTGAATAAAATGATACTTATAGGTTCCATAACAAGGGAGAATTTGAAATCGGTTGATATCAAATGATATTCTATTCACAGGAGTTGTTAAACCTATTTTTATGGCAAAAATTATCTTTATTGTAGAAAATTTCGCAAAAAAGTTGAAGGCTGTACTTTGACCTATAATGGTTTAATTTTACAAATTGTGACTTAGATGGAGAGTTGTCTCATTGGCACTCATACTACATCTTTTTATATCTATTTTGGTCTGTAAACATTTGATGCCATATGTCTGCTTCTGCTGATGTCAAACGTTAACATCAGGCCTTAAACTAGATTTATAAATTTTTTTAGAATAATTATTGTACTCAGACTTTAAAATCAAACTATCAAATACTGGATTTGGTGTTTCAAGAACAAATTATGTACTCTGAGTACTAAATAAAGTTTTATGACTGAAAGGCCAATCTTTTAAAGCTTTTCGTATGCTTCAGAATGGAATAGAATTTTACATGAAAATGATTTTCAGGTAATAAAATGTGAATGTTATGTTAATTATTGAAGAAATCACATATCAATGTTGTCACAGTGGGAAAGAGGTAAAATAGTCCATTGTAACCTTTGAATGTCATCATTGACCTAACATAAATCCAATCGAAATGTGGCAGTTTTGCATCACATTGCAGGATAGGTCAACCATATTAAAGTATTTTTCATATCATTTATTCGTATCACTCTTGATTCAGTGTGATGCAGGAAGTAGATAACAGACCACAACCATAAGAGAATGTCATTGTATAACAGAGCTGCTCTGAATTAGATGTTAATGTTATCATTTACAGACAGTTCACTTATTTTGCTGAAAAGAGGTGCACTTTCTTAAATGATTGTTATTTTATAGAGCTGCTCCAAGTGGTAATGATCAATGTCCTTGGATTCCAAGTAAGGTTAACATAGCTGGTCAACCAGGAGAGGTTCATGCGTTAAGATTGTGCAATGCCTATTGGAACTCTCAGGTCAGTTAACAAGTAATACAAATGAACAATTTATTGTAAGTTGTCGAACTCTCTTCCAATACCTTCAATTTAGTCAGTTTTTATTCATCATAAGGGAATATTGAACCAAAAATTTGAAGCATTTGCACTTCTATCTATAATAGCCTTTATCAAAGTTACAATATGGGGAGAAGGGAAACAGAACTCATAAGTAAACTTTAATACTCTGTTGTTACAAAAGGAGGGGGTACTGTAAATTCAGAAATTATTGCATGCATTTATTATTGCGATTTTGTCATTTTAGACTAAAATGCGATTTTAATTTTTGCGATACTGAGAAAAATCCTGTTTAATTCATATAAAAAATATCAAAATGTGAGTTTAAATTATTGTGATTATAACCCTGTCGCATTTTTCGCAATAATAAAACATCGCAATAATTTCTGAATTTACAGGATGCTTGCTAATGTCTGTTCATCCTTCTATTTGTTCACCCGTCCCATAATATTTTGGTTTTTTTTTCCAGGTTTTTCTACAAATCAGAGCTCCCTGAAATTTTGTATCACACTTCATGGGAGCAGGCTATGTGATTCATTTTCATATTCATCACTCACCCATTCCTGTTAACAGAATACTTATATATTCTAATAAAAAATGTCCATTATTTGTGTTGTAATGCTAGTTATGTTACAATTTTTCCATAATTTATAGCAGCTTTAGCATAATCACTTTGGCAACAACCCCTGAACCTGATTTTTTGTCTGTTTCTAGGGATTCAATATAAACCTTGGCACCTTTTGATTACATATCATTTTAGATCCTAGGTTACAGCAATGGTTTTCTAAAGCTTTTAGATCCTAGGTTACAGCAAGGGTTTTAGATCCTGGGTTACAGCAAGGGTTTTAGATCCAAGGTTACAGCAAGGGTTTTAGATCCTAGGTTACTGGAAGGGTTTTAGATCATGGGTTACAGCGAGGGTTTTAGATCCTGGGTTACAGCGAGGGTTTTAGATCCGGGGTTACAGCAAGGGTTTTAGATCTGGGGTTACAGCAAGGGTTTTAGATCCTGGGTTACAGCAAGGGTTTTTGATCCTGGGTTACAGCAAGGGTTTTAGATCCTAGGTTACAGCAAGGGTTTTAGATCCTGGGTTTCAGCAAGGGTTTTAGATCCTCGGTTACAGCAAGGGTTTTAGATCCTGGGTTACAGCAAGGGTTTTTGATCCTGGGTTACAGCAAGGGTTTTAGATCCTAGGTTACAGCAAGGGTTTTAGATCCTGGGTTACAGCGAGGGTTTAAGATCCTGGGTTACAGCGAGGGCTTTAGATCCTGGGTTGCAGCAAGGGTTTTAGATCCTGGGTTACAGCAAGGGATTAGATCCTGGGTTACAGCAAGGGTTTTAGATCCTGGGTTACAGCATGGGTTTGGGATCCGGGGTTACAGCAAGGGATTTAGATCCTAGGTTACAGCAAGGGTTTTAGATCCTGGGTTACAGCAAGGGTTTTAGATCCTGGGTTACTGCAAGGGTTTCAGATCCTGGGTAACAGCAAGGGTTTTAGATCCTAGGTTACAGCAAGGGTTTTAGATCTAGGTTACAGCAAGAGTTTTAGATCCTGGGTTACAGCAAGGGTTTTAGATCCTGGGTTACAGCAAGGGTTTCAGATCCTGGGTTACAGCAAGGGTTTTAGATCCTAGGTTACAGCAAGGGTTTTAGATCTAGGTTACAGCAAGAGTTTTAGATCCAAGGTTACAGCAAGGGTTTTAGATCCTGGGTTACAGCAAGGGTTTCAGATCCTGGGTTACAGCAAGGGTTTTAGATCCTAGGTTACATCAAGGGTTTTAGATCTAGGTTACAGCAAGGGTTTTAGATCCTAGGTTACAGCAAGGGTTTTCTAAAGCTTTTAAGTCACAAGAATGCAGAAAATTGACGTATTTTGATATCACCAAAATATGCTGACCTTAGTGCTTATGAAGAGATTTGTTTTACCTAACATTAAAGAACAAAATTGTGACCTCTTTGATATTTTATGATAAAGTTGAAATTCGAGGTCATCTTTTGCCAAAAGTGAACCTTAACCTTCGGTTTAGGGCTTCATGTCAGCCAGAATAAAAAAGGATTAAACTTTTAAAAAAAATTATTTTTATTTTGTTTTCTTCTAAAAATTGAAAAAAATGGGTCAGAGAATCTGTAAACTAACAAATACAAAAACTCTTGCTTAACTAACATAAGGTTGATAAGTCTTGTGAACTGTGGTTTTGTGCAGTAAAAATCAAATTTCAATAAATATGTCAATACCAATATTGATTAATTGTCATTGAGGAGAAATGTAAATCATTGTCAGTCAAGGATTGAATGGTGTGAGGGTTAATATTTAGTGATCCCATATGGTTATTTGTTTATGATGAGATTCTAGATTTAAAGATGGTGTATAAAGGATATTTTTTTATGTTGTCAGGAATCTGTAACAGAGGATGTTGATGCTTTGTTTAGAGGGATGGCCTCAACATTGGCAGAACGAGAGGATAATATAATGGTAGCTGATTTGGCAGGTATATATCAGTGATAGTTGCTTCTTAAATGTAGGTTGTTTTATAGTAACACATCCAGTACACATGTTTTGAACAGAGATTCATACATTCCAGGATATGAAAAAATGAGGCTTTTTAGAAGGCATCTTTTATGATAATAAAAAGATGTACTGTCAGTGATTAAAATTTGGTTATCTTGCTATAGTAATAATATTTTATCAGTAAATGTCAGGTCTCAGCTCTTGTATATATAATAGATCATTTTATTGATGTTGAAATGATAGTATGTAGTTTCAAGTTTTATCATTATTATATAGACACTTTACATTTACTTTGCTAGATTTCACGAACTTTTCTGTCCTTCTAGAATTCTTTTTCTTACACATTAGATGATCATTATGATGGATGGATTACATTAATGAAATTTTAAAAAGTACAACTTTTTTTAACAATATTTTAATATTTTTTTAAGGAGATGTATTTGGACCATTAGAATTCTCAAGGCGTGATCTAGGTGCAATAAATATTCAGAGAGCACGAGACCATGGGTTGCCTGATTATCAGTCAGTAAGAGAAGCATTTGGTCTCCCAAGACTGGAGAGTTTTGAAGCAATGCATAATGGCTCTATTGATACAAACCTTAAAGTAAGATATAATTACCTAATTTATTTGTTTGATTGTTCTTTAAACATTCATATATTTATATGATAATCAGTTTCAAGGAAACTTAGTGCCCAGGAAAAACTTAACATAAAATTTAATGGAATCTTAAAGGAGTAGTTCAATGTTGGGCCAAGTTGGTTAAATCAAATGTAGTTCAAACTGTCTCTAATTTGCAGAATAAAATGTTGGATCTACATACTTTGATAAAACATTGTTATTTTGGTTTAAAATAGAAACCATCTTATTACTATGTACTAGTTATGTTTGTGAAAAGCAAGTGAATTGTAAGTAAGCCATCACAATTTTTTCATTGTATGATCAGTCATTATTATCAGATTGAGTGGCATCATAAGCCAGCCCCTGAGACTATACGATGCAGTGCGGTAAATCTGCCCACATAAGGCTTTGATCGTATGTATTTCTCCTTAATTATATACAAATTGTATCAAATTTAATATAAATCGATTCACTAACAAATCAATTTTGAGGAGTTTTTTTTATCATTTCCCAAAGATATCTGAAATAAATTTTAAAATCAACAAATTAAGTGGGTCATCTGTATTTTAAAAAAAAATTGGTTTGTCTGGTAAATCTACCCATACGCTGTAAATATGTATGGAGGGCCAGTTTATTGCATCTCCTTAACAAAAGGGGATCTATTAATAGACCACTTATAAAGGGATTCCAGACAATTGAAAAAAACTAAAATTTCTAGACAGAAATGAGTTTTGAAAGTAATAATATGATTATCGTTAGCTTCAGGAACTGTTTTATATATATCACTAGATATTTTTGTAATAAAGGATTTTTTCTTTAAAATTTGACATGCAGTGATAATAAGTACAGTTCCAGTTCCTATGAATAAAATAGCAGACCAAATATTCACGGAAGTGACAATTACGAAAGTAAATGGGAGTGGGTGGGTTTACCGGACGGGCGGTATTACCGTACACTACTGTATGTAATCAATTATACATAGATATGTCATCAGGTTTTGTTGCATAGCATGCATCTGAGACTAGCATTTATATATACACATAGTCAGAGTAATCAAAACAAATAATTAAAGGAAATATGAGTAATTTTTTTTAAGAAAAGGGATAACATCTGCTCTTAAATTTGTAATATTATGCAAATAGCATGCTATGGAAGTAACAAATAGACTTCTTTCCAACACAGGCAGGAAAAACATAAGTTCGAAGCTCTTTTGATAATCATTTTAGGTTAGAATTATAATTTGTCACCCTGTACTGTCATCTTCAAATTCTAGTATTTCAACAACAAAAAGTATACATGGAGTTGAATCTGTTAAAGGAAAAATCTTCCTCAGAAGGTTCAGTAATTATGTAGGGAAATAGCTCTACAATGTCTGAAACGTGTACAGATACACTCAACATGACACATCTTCAATTTATTTTGTAGGCTATACAGAATCTTAAAAAACTGTATAAAGATGAGGGTCTCAATGACTCAGCTCCAAATGACGTTGATTTATTTGTTGGTGGGTTGATTGAGACCACATTAGATGGACCAGGACCATTGTTTACAGAAATAACTCTAGATCAGTTCCGTAGAATCAGAGATGGAGATAGGTTTTGGTATGAGAATAGGGATAATGGGTAAGTTTTCACATTATGGTATGAGTATAGGAAACAATGGGTAAGTTTTCACATTATGGTATGAGTATAGGAAACAATGGGTAAGTTTTCACATTATGGTATGAGTATAGGAAACAATGGGTAAGTTTTCACATTATGGTATGAGTATAGGAAACAATGGGTAAGTTTTCACATTATGGTATGAGTATAGGAAACAATGGGTAAGTTTTCACATTATGGTATGAGTATATAAAACAATTGGTAAGTTTTCACATTATGGTATGAGTATAGGAAACAAGGGGTAAGTTTTCACATTATGGTATGAGTATAGGAAACAATAAGTAAGTTTCCACTTTATGGTACGAGTATAGGAAACAATGGATAAGTTTTCACATTATGGTATGAGTATAGGAAACAATGGGTAAGTTTTCACATTATGGTATGAGTATAGGAAACAATGGGTAAGTTTTCACATAATAGTATGAGAATAGGAAAAATGGGTAAGTTTTCACATTATGGTATGACAATATGAAAAATGGGTAAGTTTTCACATTATGGTATGAGTATAGGAAACAATGAGTAAGTTTTCACATTATGGTATGAGTATAGGAAACAATGGATAAGTTTTCACATTATGGTATGAGTATAGGAAACAATGGGTAAGTTTTCGCATTATTGTATGAGTATAGGAAACAATAAGTAAGTTTTCACATTATGGTATGAGAATATGAAAAATGGGTAAGTTTTGACATAATGGTATGAGAATATGAAAAATGGGTAAGTTTTCACATAATGGTATGAGAATAGGAAAAATGGGTAAATTTTCACATTATGATATGAGAATAGGGAAAATGGGTAAGTTTTCACATAATGTATGAGAATAGGAAAAATGGGTAAGTTTTCACATTATGGTATGAGAATATGAAAAATGGGTAAGTTTTCACATAATGGTATGAGAATAGGAAAAATGGGTAAATTTTCACATTATGATATGAGAATAGGGAAAATGGGTGTTTTCACATAATGGTATGAGAATAGGAAAAATGGGTAAGTTTTCACATTATGGTATGAGTATAGGAAACAATGGGTAAGTTTTCACATTATGGTATGAGTATAGGAAACAATGGGTAAGTTTTCACATTATGGTATGAGTATAGGAAACAATGGGTAAGTTTTCACATTATGGTATGAGTATAGGAAACAATGGATAAGTTTTCACATTATGGTATGAGTATAGGAAACAATGGGTAAGTTTTCGCATTATTGTATGAGAATATGAAAAATGGGTAAGTTTTGACATAATGGTATGAGAATATGAAAAATGGGTAAGTTTTCACATAATGGTATGAGAATAGGAAAAATGGGTAAATTTTCACATTATGATATGAGAATAGGGAAAATGGGTAAGTTTTCACATAATGGTATGAGAATAGGAAAAATGGGTAAGTTTTCACATAATGGTATGAGAATAGGAAAAATTGGTAAATTTTTACATTATGATATGAGAATAGGGAAAATGGGTAAGTTTTCACATAATGGTATGAGAATAGGAAAAATGGGTAAGTTTTCACATTATGGTATGAGAATAGGAAAAATGGGTAAGTTTTCACATTATGGTGTGAGAAAACAAAAACTGGGTAAGTTTTTACATTATTGTATGAGAATTCAAAAAATGGGTAAGTTTTCACATTATGGTATAAGAATATGAAAATGGATAAGTTTTCACATTATGGTATGAGAATAGGAAAAATGGGTAAGTTTTCACATAATGGTATGAGAATAGGAAAAATTGGTAATTTTTGACATTATGGTATGAGAATAGGAAAAATGGGTAAGTTTTCACATTATGGTATGAGAATAGGAAAAATGGGTAATTTTTCACTTTATGGTATGAAAATAGGAAAAATGGGTAAGTTTTCACATTATCAGTATGGTGTGAGAATAGGGAAAATGGGTAACTTTTCACATTATGGTATGAAAATAGGAAAAATGGGAAAGTTTTCACTTTATGGTATGAGAATAGGAAAAGTTTTAAATTTTTAGTGTGAGTATAGAGAAAATGGATAAGTTGTCAAAAAATAGAAGTTCCTTTATGATATAACTTCCAAGGGGAAGAAATATTCTGTAGTACTATTTCAGATGGAACAAACATTACAATATTTGTTTTTAACAGAATAAAGGGTATAGAATGTTTGTTCTAACAGGAACAGATATTATGGCATTGTTTATAACAAAGTTTCCACAGAACTTCTGTTTGGACGGAACAAACATCATAACATTGACAAAGTTTTCACATTTGAAAATAAATTGTGTGAAAGTAATAAATTGGGATTAACCTGTTACATATATTTCATGTGATGGAGTTTTGTTTTCAGTAGTAAAGCATATAGACTTTGCTATATCTATATGTCAAATAGATGAGCAGGGATGTGAACTTGGCTCAGTTCACATATTTTTCTAGAATTCTTAAAAGAGAAAAAAACTGGAAAATTAATTGGGTAATTAACTCTGAATTTCTCATAAAATGTTGGCTATCTCCATTTAATTAATAGCTTCTTTGCAACTTTGTCCCAAGTTTTAATTCCTTGTCATCAGCATTTCACTTGTGTTTGTTTGTCTGTTCTGGTTTATTTTTGTTTTAAGGTACAGATCTTAAACAGCTTCAAATCAAATAGAAATGATTTTTTCATTTAGTAGACATGTTATGGATTATAATGAGGTCCATTCAAACAATTGATCACTAAGTTTTTTTTTTGGCTTACATGGGTACAGATACGCAATTCATTTCAGGTAGGCGATAATGGTAGCCTTTTCCTCAATTCCTCTGATCATATCATAAACTTGGATTTGTATGATGGCTTGTTTTGAAGCTGAGACATTTTCACATCTGTGGTTAAATTTTCTGGGTATGAAGTGAGATTCGTTTTTCCCTAATTTAGCAAACCCCGAAAAGTCTTTTGTGATGCGGCTTCTCGAGGTAAAAAATCCCTCTTTCACTCAATATATAAAGTTCTTTGAAAATGTAGTTCTAATGCATACATTTAATAACTCCATAGTTTTTGTCGAGCCTGCGACTTTTGTCGCAGAAAGCTCGACATGGGGATAGTGATCCGGTGGCAGCATTAACTAACTTCTTAAAAGCTTAATATTTCAGAAGGTAGAAGACCTGAATGCTTCATATGTTAAATAAGATGCCTTATGATATGAAGTTTCCGTCTGTTATATGTCCACTGTCCTTGACCTCATTTTCATGGTTCAGTGACTACTTGAAAAAGATTTTTTGTAATGTTAATTTCTCTCTTATTATGAGTAATAGGATAACTGTATTTGGTATGTGCGTACCTTGCAAGGTCCTCATTCCTGTCAGACAGTTTTCACTTGACCTCGACCTCATTTCATGGATCAGTGAACAAGGTTAAGTTTTCATGGTCAAGTCCATATCTCAGATACTATAAGCAATAGGTCTACTATATTTGGTCTATGTAATGATTGTAAGGTGTACATGTCCAACTGGCAGGTGTCATCTGACCTTGACCTCATTTTCATGGTTCAGTGGTCATAGTTTAGTTTTTGTGTTTAATCTGTTTTTCTAATACTGTATGCAGTAGGTCATCTATATTTGGTATATGGAAATATTTTACGATGTACATGTCAGTCTTGCAGGTTTTATTTGACCTTGACCTCATTTTCACGGTTCATTGCTCAATGTTAAGTTTTTGTGTTTTGGTCTGTTTTTCTAATACTGTATGCAGTAGGTGAATTATATTTGGTGTATGGAAATATTTTACAATGTACATGTCAGTCTGGCAGGTTTTATTTGACCTTGACCTTGACCTCATTTTCACGGTTCATTGCTCAATGTTAAGTTTTTGTGTTTTGGTCTGTTTTTCTAATACTGTATGCAGTAGGTCAACTATATTTGGTGTATGGAAATATTTTACGATGTACATGTCAGTCTGGCAGGTTTTATTTGACCTTGACCTTGACCTCATTTTCACGGTTCATTGCTCAATGTTAAGTTTTTGTGGTTTGGTCTGTTTTTCTAATACTGCATGCAGTAGGTCAACTATATTTGGTGTATGGAAATATTTTACGATGTACATGTCAGTCTGGCAGGTTTTATTTGACCTTGACCTCATTTTCATGGTTCATTTCTTATGTTAAGTTTTTGTGTTTTGGTCTGTTTTTCTTAAACTTTAAGCAATAGGTCAACTATATTTGGTGTATGGAATGATTGTAAGGTGTATATGTCTGTCTGGCAGGTATCATCTGACCTTGACCTCATTTCCATGGTTGATTGGTCAATGTTCAGTTTTCCTGGTTAACTTTGTTTCTTAGATACTTTAAGCAATATGTCAACTATATTTGATGCATGGAATGATTTTAAAGTTTACATGTCTGTCTGGCAGGGTTCATCTGACCTTGACTTCATTTTCATGGTTCATTGGTCAGTATAGAATTTCCATGGTTTGGTCTGTTTCTTTTATACTATAAGCAATAGGTCATCTATATTCTGTGTATGGAATGATTGTATTAAAGGTGTACATGTATTTCCGGCTTGGTTTATCTGACCTTGACCTCATTTTCTTGGATCATAAATGTTAATGTGATACTTGTAGAAAACATTTATATGAAGGACTATCAACATAAAATCAATGGTCAGTATAGTAGGCAAGACATTTCAGTGTGTGCACTCTTGTTACACCTTTATGCTATGATCCTCTGCTCTCCAAATCAGCACAAATAGTTCAGCTCAGTCACTTGTTAAGAATTGAAACATGTCCAATATCACTACACCAAGATTTTTTGTTTACGCACAACTTTTGAGGCGCATTAGGGATATTGACCCAGTTGCAATTGACGGGACATACTTGATAGTTAGCACTGAGTTACATTGGCATTAGCATCAAGGTTATAGAATCTTCTTCTCTAAGATACTTATATTTTTCATTTTTTACATGTTTATATTACTGGTAGTTAAAGCATGTTAAAATACTTTTTCCATTTTGTTTTCAGTTTGTTCAGTGATACTGAATTGAATGAGCTAAATTCCATGACATTGGGTGGAGTAATTGCTTTAGTGACAAATGTCAAGGTCGATGGTCAGTCAGGCGTCAATGTCAATAACAGAGAAGTTCAGCAGGATGTCTTTATACACAGCGGTACTGTGGTTTAGACTCATTTTTAGCTCACCTTTCCAAAGGAAATGTGAGCTTTTGCCATCACTTTGCGTCCGTCGTCGTCGTTGTCATCCGTCCGGTGTAAACTATTTCAAACATCTTCTCCTCTTAAACTACAGAACCAATTCCAACCAAACTTAAGATGAATTATCCTTAGGGTATCTAGAATATACTTTGTGTGTTATTTTCTGTTTCGTCAAAAAACATGGCCGCCATGGCTAAAAATAGACCATAGGGGTTAAATGCAGTTTTTGGCTTTTATCTCTGAAACCAAAGCATTTAGAGCAAATCTGACATGGGATTAAAATGTTCATCAGGCGAAGATCTATCCCTGACGAATTTTCAGATGCATCAGACAACCCGTTGGAGGGTTGCTGCCCCTGAATTTGTAATTTTAAGGAAATTTTGCAGTTTTTGGTTATTATCTTGAATATTATTATAGATAGAGATAAACTGTAAACAACAATAATGTTCAGCAAAGTAAGATCTACAAATAAGTTAAACATGACCAAAATTGTCAATTGACCCCTTAAGGAGTTATTGCTCTTTAAAGTCAATTTTTAACAATTTTTCCTAAATTTTTGTGATCTTTTTCAAAAATCTCCTCCCCTTTTAACTACTGAGACAAATTTTACCAATCTTGGCCACAATCATCATTAGGGTATCTTGTTTAAAAAATATGTCCGATGACCCCGCCTACCAACCAACATGGCCAACATGGCTAAATAAAGGCAACAGTAGTACACCGCTGTTCGAAACTCATAAATCGATAGAGATAAAAACAAATCCGGGTTACAAACTAAAACTGAGGGAAACGCATCAAATATAAGAGGAGATTAACGACACAACAAAAACACAACATTAAAATGTAACACACACAGAAACAACTATAATATAACAATGGCCATTTTCCTGACTTGGAAAAATAGAACATAGGGGTAAAAAGCAGTTTTTGGCTTTTAGCTCTGAAACCAGAGCATTTAGAGCAAATCTGACAGGGGTAAAAATGTTCATCAGGGTTAAGGTCTACCTGCATTGGAATTTTCAGACGAATCAGACAACCAGTTGTTGGGTTGCTGCCCTGAATTGGTAATTTTAAGGAAATTTTGCAGTTTTTGGTTATTTTGAATATTATTTTAGATAGAGATAAACTGTAAACAGCAATATGTTCAGCAAAGTAAGATCTACAAATAAGTCAACATGACCAAAATTGTCAATTGACATTTTATTGGAGTTATTGTCCTTTAAAGTCATTTTCTGCAATTTTTTGGTAATTTTTGTAAACTTTTTTCAAAAATCTTCTGCTTTTAATTAAACTACTGGGCCAAATTAAACCAAACTTAGGGTATCTAATACTTTTTATTATGATTTAAACCTTATTTTACATGATTTCCAAAAACACAGTAGATACAGGTGAGCGACACAGGCTCTTGAGAGCCTCTAGTTTTATTTTTTTCAAATCTCAATATTTTAATTATTTTATGAATTGTAAACTCCTCCCTTGGTTCTGTAAATATTTAAGTTCTTCAGAAGAAATCATATCTACCCTTTCATAAATTACAGTTTGTGGAAACTTTCTATTAATTGCATCTTTTCATTAACTGTTATATAATACAGATACTGTAAATTTAGAAAATATTGCGATTGTTTTATTAATGCGAATAATGCGACTGGGTGAGTATTGCAATAATAAGAACTTGCATTCTGATACATATAGCTGAATGCAGATTTTCCTGACAATGCAATAATTAATCTGGCATTTTTGTCCATGCATTAAATGCACACAATAATTCTGAATTTACAGTAAAACAACAGTTCTGCAACACCCACTCCCTTAAGCAATGAAATATCTTTAAAAATAAATTTAATTGCAGGAAACAGTGATCCATGTCCACAACCTGCTCAGTTAAATATAAATACTGCAGTATCTGTTCCACTAAACAATGGTATTAACCGTACAATCATTGAGAACTGTGTACCTTGGCAGACATATGACTATTTCTCTGGCAGTGAAATTTGGTTTCCTTTGACATTCACAGTTCTAGCTCTGTTTATTCCAGGTAAGAAATTTTCTTAGTTCTTACTCTTGTGTCCCAGCCAATTTTTGTCGAGCCTTCGACTTTTGTCGAAAAAGCGAGACATAGCGATCCTACATTCCGTCGGCGTCGTCGTCGTCGTCGTCGTCGTCGGCGGCGGCGTCCACAAATATTCACTGTGTGGTTAAAGTTTTTGAAATTTTAATAACTTTCTTAAACTATCCTGGATTTCTACCAAACTTGGACAGAAGCTTGTTTATGATCATAAGATAATATTCAAAAGTAAATTTTGTAAAAAAAAAATTCCATTTTTTCCGTATTTTACTTATAAGTGGACTTAGTTTTTCTGCCAGGAAACATTACATTCACTCTGTGGTTAAAGTTTTTGAAATTTTAATAACTTTCTTAAACTATCCTGGATTTCTACCAAACTTGGACAGAAGCTTGTTTATGATCATAAGATTATATTCAAAAGTAAATTTTGTAAAAAAAAAATTCCATTTTTTCCGTATTTTACTTATAAGTGGACTTAGTTTTTCTGCCAGGAAACATTACATTCACTCTGTGGTTAAAGTTTTTGAAATTTTAATAACTTCCTTAAACTATCCTGGATTTCTACCAAACTTGGAAAGAAGCTTGTTTATGATCATAAGATAGTATCCAAAGTAAATTTTGTAAAAAAAAAATTCCATTTTTTCCGTATTTTACTTATAAATGGACTTAGTTTTTCTGCCAGTTAACATTACATTCACTCTGTGGTTAAAGTTTTTAAAATTTTAACAACTTTCTTAAACTATCCTGGATTTGTACCACACTTGGACAGAAGCTTGTTTATGATCAAAAGCTAGTATCTAGAAGGAAATTTTGATAAAATTTTGTTCCATTTTTTCTGTATTTTACTTATAAATGGACTTAGTTTTTCTTCCAGTCAACAGTACATACATTCTGCAGTTTAAGTTTTTAAAACATTTATTAGATTGATAAACTATCCTGGATTTTTACCAAACTTGGACAGAAGCTTCTTACAATCAAAAGATAGTATCGAGAGGAATATTTTTATCAATTTTTTTCCTCATTTTTGTTGAGCCTACGATTAACACCAAAAGTAGGCGAGACACTGGGTTCCGCGGAACCCTTACAAATTTTTTATGTTTACTGTTAATTTGGTAAGCAATAAAGTAAAAGTTCAGGCTGTCTGCATGGTAATCATAACATAGTAATTTAGTTAACCAGTATAGAGTTCTTACTGTGCAAGTTTCTGAGAATTACATAGTTCTAGGTGTGTTCCAGTTAATCATTACAGTTCGGACTGTTACAGTTAATCATTACATAGTTCTGGCTGTGTTCCTTATTGAGTAATCATTACTTAGTTCTTGCTGTGTTCAAGGAAATTATTGCATAGTGCCAGCTGTGTTCCAGGTAAACATTAATTAGTTCTGACTGTGTACTAGGTAATCCTTGCATAGTGCCAGCTGTGTTCCAGGTAATAATTACTTAGTTCTGACTTTGTAGTAGGTAATCCTTGCATAGTGCCAGCTGTGTTCCAGGTAAACATTAATAAGTTCTGACTGTGTACTAGGTAATCCTTGCATAGTGCCAGCTGTGTTCCAGGTAATAATTACTTAGTTCTGACTTTGTAGTAGGTAATCCTTGCATAGTGCCAGCTGTGTTACAAGTAAACATTAATTAGTTCTGACTGTGTACTAGGTAATCCTTGCATAGTGCCAGCTGTGTTCCAAGTAATCATTACTTAGTTCTGACTGTGTACTAGGTAATCCTTGCATAGTGCCAGCTGTGTTCCAGGTAATAATTACTTAGTTCTGACTTTGTAGTAGGTAATCCTTGCATAGTGCCAGCTGTGTTCCAGGTAATAATTACTTAGTTCTGACTTTGTAGTAGGTAATCCTTGCATAGTGCCAGCTGTGTTCCAGGTAAACATTAATTAGTTCTGACTGTGTACTAGGTAATCCTTGCATAGTGCCAGCTGTGTTCCAGGTAAACATTAATTAGTTCTGACTGTGTACTAGGTAATCCTTGCATAGTGCCAGCTGTGTTCCAGGTAATAATTACTTAGTTCTGACTTTGTAGTAGGTAATCCTTGCATAGTGCCAGCTGTGTTCCAGGTAAACATTAATTAGTTCTGACTGTGTACTAGGTAATCCTTGCATAGTGCCAGCTGTGTTCCAGGTAATAATTACTTAGTTCTGACTTTGTAGTAGGTAATCCTTGCATAGTGCCAGCTGTGTTCCAGGTAATAATTACTTAGTTCTGACTTTGTAGTAGGTAATCCTTGCATAGTGCCAGCTGTGTTCCAGGTAAACATTAATTAGTTCTGACTGTGTACTAGGTAATCCTTGCATAGTGCCAGCTGTGTTCCAGGTAATAATTACTTAGTTCTGACTTTGTAGTAGGTAATCCTTGCATAGTGCCAGCTGTGTTCCAGGTAAACATTAATTAGTTCTGACTGTGTACTAGGTAATCCTTGCATAGTGCCAGCTGTGTTCCAGGTAATAATTACTTAGTTCTGACTTTGTAGTAGGTAATCCTTGCATAGTGCCAGCTGTGTTCCAGGTAAACATTAATTAGTTCTGACTGTGTACTAGGTAATCCTTGCATAGTGCCAGCTGTGTTCCAGGTAATAATTACTTAGTTCTGACTTTGTAGTAGGTAATCCTTGCATAGTGCCAGCTGTGTTCCAGGTAAACATTAATTAGTTCTGACTGTGTACTAGGTAATCCTTGCATAGTGCCAGCTGTGTTCCAGGTAATAATTACTTAGTTCTGACTTTGTAGTAGGTAATCCTTGCATAGTGCCAGCTGTGTTCCAGGTAATAATTACTTAGTTCTGACTTTGTAGTAGGTAATCCTTGCATAGTGCCAGCTGTGTTCCAGGTAAACATTAATTAGTTCTGACTGTGTACTAGGTAATCCTTGCATAGTGCCAGCTGTGTTCCAGGTAATAATTACTTAGTTCTGACTTTGTAGTAGGTAATCCTTGCATAGTGCCAGCTGTGTTCCAGGTAAACATTAATTAGTTCTGACTGTGTACTAGGTAATCCTTGCATAGTGCCAGCTGTGTTCCAGGTAATAATTACTTAGTTCTGACTTTGTAGTAGGTAATCCTTGCATAGTGCCAGCTGTGTTCCAGGTAAACATTAATTAGTTCTGACTGTGTACTAGGTAATCCTTGCATAGTGCCAGCTGTGTTCCAGGTAATAATTACTTAGTTCTGACTTTGTAGTAGGTAATCCTTGCATAGTGCCAGCTGTGTTCCAGGTAATTATTACTTAGTTCTGACTTTGTAGTAGGTAATCCTTGCATAGTGCCAGCTGTGTTCCAGGTAATTATTAATTAGTTCCGACTGTGTACTAGGTAATCCTTGCATAGTGCCAGCTGTGTTCCAGGTAATAATTACTTAGTTCTGACTTTGTAGTAGGTAATCCTTGCATAGTGCCAGCTGTGTTCCAGGTAATTATTACTTAGTTCTGACTGTGTACTAGGTAATCCTTGCATAGTGCCAGCTGTGTTCCAGGTAAACATTAATTAGTTCTGACTGTGTACTAGGTAATCCTTGCATAGTGCCAGCTGTGTTCCAGGTAATAATTACTTAGTTCTGACTTTGTAGTAGGTAATCCTTGCATAGTGCCAGCTGTGTTCCAGGTAATTATTACTTAGTTCTGACTGTGTACTAGGTAATCCTTGCATAGTGCCAGCTGTGTTCCAGGTAAACATTAATTAGTTCTGACTGTGTACTATGTAATCCTTGCATAGTGCCAGCTGTGTTCCAGGTAATTATTACTTAGTTCTGACTGTGTACTAGGTAATCCTTGCATAGTGCCAGCTGTGTTCCATGTAAACATTAGTTAGTTCTGACTGTATTAGGTAATCCTTGCATAGTGCTAGCTGTGTTCCAGGTAAATCATAATTATTTCTGACTGTGTACTAGGTAATCCTTGCATAGTGCCAGCTGTGTTACAAGTAAACATTACTTAGTTCTGACTGTGTACTAGGTAATCCTTGCATAGTGCCAGCTGTGTTCCATGTAAACATTAGTTAGTTCTGACTGTATTAGGTAATCCTTGCATAGTGCTAGCTGTGTTCCAGGTAAATCATAATTATTTCTGACTGTGTACTAGGTAATCCTTGCATAGTGCCAGCTGTGTTACAAGTAAACATTACTTAGTTCTGACTGTGTACTAGGTAATCCTTGCATAGTGCTAGCTGTGTTACAAGTAAACATTACTTAGTTCTGACTGTGTACTAGGTAATCCTTGCATAGTGCTAGCTGTGTTCCAGGTAAATCATAATTATTTCTGACTGTGTACTAGGTAATCCTTGCATAGTGCCAGCTGTGTTACAAGTAAACATTACTTAGTTCTGACTGTGTACTAGGTAATCCTTGCATAGTGCTAGCTGTGTTACAAGTAAACATTACTTAGTTCTGACTGTATTAGGTAATCCTTGCATAGTGCTAGCTGTGTTCCAGGTAATTATTACTTAGTTCTGACTGTGTACTAGGTAATCCTTGCATAGTGCCAGCTGTGTTCCATGTAAACATTAGTTAGTTCTGACTGTATTAGGTAATCCTTGCATAGTGCTAGCTGTGTTCCAGGTAAATCATAATTATTTCTGACTGTGTACTAGGTAATCCTTGCATAGTGCCAGCTGTGTTACAAGTAAACATTACTTAGTTCTGACTGTGTACTAGGTAATCCTTGCATAGTGCTAGCTGTGTTACAAGTAAACATTACTTAGTTCTGACTGTGTACTAGGTAATCCTTGCATAGTGCTAGCTGTGTTCCAGGTAAATCATAATTATTTCTGACTGTGTACTAGGTAATCCTTGCATAGTGCCAGCTGTGTTACAAGTAAACATTACTTAGTTCTGACTGTGTACTAGGTAATCCTTGCATAGTGCTAGCTGTGTTACAAGTAAACATTACTTAGTTCTGACTGTGTACTAGGTAATCCTTGCATAGTGCTAGCTGTGTTCCAGGTAAATCATAATTATTTCTGACTGTGTACTAGGTACATACATATGAACCTCCCGACGGGAGTACAATAATCCCGTTTTCAGGGGTCTTCTCCCTTCCTCCCGTTGAAGAGAAAAATATCCTGTGTATGAAATATTTCATGAGTGAAAAATTTCAGCCGCCATTTTTGATCATTTCTTACTACGATGTTTATTATTATAGAGGTAAAAACCCGAGAGTACTGAACATATCCGGTGTAACTGACATTACCTGAAGTTATATTTGACCTGAAAATCAAAGAACATGCATAATTATATGGCTTCACTTGCCAGCTTGGGTGTCAAACATACTGGTAATCTACGATTTTTACCTCAGGCTAACTGCCGTTGTGTAATAAAAACTTTGTGTATTTAAAAATAATTGAAATAAATTTTGGGTTACTTCCCTTGTTTCATCCTGTTTTAAGTTACTTTCCTTTAAATAATGTAAATTGTTCAAAGAATATAAATGAAATATAAATTGAACAAATAATCATATAAGGATGGTAATTAAATGGTTTTTAAATGTTATAGGAAAAATAAAAAAATTATAATTTGGAAATTATTTGAGGGTTCTAAACTTCTTTTCAAGGCTAAAATTGAAATTTAAATAAAAAGTATGACCTTTACTTCAGTTAGTATATGATTTCTAGCATGAAGGAATGGTCAATTTGCAGTAAAGATAAAAAAAAATATGTTCTAATTGCAGTGATAGTTTCCTTGAATAAAGATAAAAAGAATAAAACAAAAAGAAATTAAAGAATAATCTAAAAAAAAAAAAAGAATGTTAGATTGAATAAAGATAAAGAAAATTTATAAATATAAGGGTACTATAAACATATTACATTCAGATGGAAAGTTGAAGAAAAAACACTTTAAAAGACAATTTCTACATCACACGGTTACATTTACGACAAAATTTATGTCGATAAAAAACCTCCTGATCTGAGTCCTAATCTCCTGACCAAAATTTCCAAATCTCCTGATCTGAGTTTCACAGTCCATCACATGTATGTAGGTAATCCTTGCATAGTGCCAGCTGTGTTCCAGGTAAACATTACTTAGATCTGACTGTGTACTAGGTAATCCTTGCATAGTGCCAGCTGTGTTCCAAGTAATCATTACTTAGTTCTGACTGTGTACTAGGTAATCCTTGCATAGTGCCAGCTGTGTTCCATGTAAACATTGGTTAGTTCTGACTGTGTACTATGTAATCCTTGCATAGTGCCAGCTGTGTTCCAGTTAACATTACTTAGTTCTGACTGTATTAGGTAATCCATGCATAGTGCCAGCTGTGTTCCAAGTAAACATTAATTATACCCCCGCTTTAAAAAAAGTGGGGGTATACTTTTTTACCTCTGTCTGTCCATCCGTCCGTTCATCCATCTGTCCGTCTATCCATCGGTCCGTCAGTCCGTCCGTCCGTCCCATGAATATTTTTTGTCGCAACTTTCTCAAGAACTACACTACAAGGATTTCTGAAATTTGGTTTCAGGGTTTATATAAGTCAGCTATACCGTGTGATGCGTTTTCAGATTCATCCCTCAACAACTTCCTGTTTACCGTCAAGTATTTGGGCAGAGGTATCATCAGTGAGCTACTGCTCACAGTTTCACTTGTTAGTTCTGACTGTGTTCTAGGTAATCCTTGCATATTGCCAGCTGTGTTCCAGGTATAATTACTTAGTTCTGACTGTGTACTAGGTAATCCTTGCATAGTACCAGCTGTGTTCCATGTAAACATTAGTTAGTTCTGACTGTGTACTAGGTAATCCTAGCATAGTGCCAGCTGTGTTCCAGGTAATCATTAATTAGATCTGACTGTGTACTAGGTAATCCTTGCATAGTGCCAGCTGTGTTCCAAGTATTCATTACTTAGATCTGACTGTGTACTAGGTAATCCTTGCATAGTGCCAGCTGTGTTCCAGGTAATCATTAATTAGATCTGACTGTGTTCTGTATATAAATCCTTACTTATTGTTGACCAAGTGCTTTAGGTAGTTTATCTACATCGATTACTAGCCTGTCAACTCTAAGGTTGTGAGTTTGAACCCTGCCCTTGGGGAGATGTGATCTTAAATGACAATGATTGCCATGTGATATAGCCTTGGTTACTGAACGTGGAGTTAAACACTAACAAACAAACAAACAAAAATCTGGTTATGTTCCAGGTAAGTGTTACTTAGTTATGACTAATGCAGGCAATCATTTCTAAGTTTGTACTGTGTTTTTTCATATTACTGATTTCTGACACTGTGTGCTCCAGACCTAGGTAAAAAAATCAAGATCTGTGTTCTGTGTGTTGTATTTTAAGATAAGCAATACATTCTTGTGTTACTGTGTAAGTTCTATAAGTTACACGTAAGTCAAAAACTCTTGGTTCATAATGTGTTCCATGACTAAAGGTTAACAATGAGATTTAACATTTCAGACTATTTGTGTTTTAGACTGAGGTAAACATTGAATTCTTATTACAAATTCTACTTGTTTCTAATAAGCAATATAGTCTTAGCTCTGTGTTCAAGGTCAGGATTGGTTAGTTTTGTTACTGGGATCTAGGTCTAGGTAAACACAATGTTTCTAGTTGGTTACCATGAGATCCAGGTAGGTAAGCATTGAATTCCTTGATTGATTAATTGCTTGGTGAAAGATTCTTGCCAGTGGATATATATACTGTTTGATCAATGTCAATTTCAAATTATTTTTTTTCTTCATCAATTTTAGCATACCGTATATATATATATAGGTAGAGCAGTATAAATTTAACATGATGAATCAAATTTTGTCAGAATGATTTATTTAAAAATTTGCCTTTGAAATTACACAAAATTGAATAATGGTATGTATTTTATAGCTACTATAGGACTGATGATATGTATGGCTAAAATCAGAGAAAAGAAGTTGGTTAAAGCAAGGCAAAGAATTGTCAAGAGAGAAAAGACCAAAGAACCACACACATATCTAGGTTTGTTATTATAAATCAGGTTAAAAATAGGAATGTCATAAAAAAAAATCACCTGAATGCTGTCAGAGTAGGCAAAACTAGCCTTAAATAATTTCTCCATATGCATACAAAACTCATTAAAGATACCAGACTTGTAACTTTGTATGCCAGACATGCCTTTCCTCTACAAAAGACTCACCAATGACGCATGAATCTGAGTTTGAATTGATAATATATAACTTAATGGTTAGGCAAAAAAAAAAAAAGGTATGTGTGAAGGGTGTTTTGACCGACCCTTATTATTTAAAACATTTTTATAAATATTTTTTCAAAAACTTTTCACAAACATATATGTTGTTGTAATCACTTACTTATATTATAAAAATATGCAACAGAATTGATAAAAAATATGATAAAACTTCACCACTCTGTTCATTCACTAAAACATTACTTAGTTGTAATACTTGTGTTTGATCCATTTGTCATTTTGAACAATAAATTATACTAAATTAATTGACTAATTGCTAATGGCAGAAGTTCTGATAAAGAGCAAACATTCTAGCTATGCCAAAAGAGAGTAGCAGTTCAGTCAAGATTTGCTGATTGGTTTAAGTGGTATGTAACATACCAAAACCAGACATCGTGAAAATTTATATTTTCCAGATTGCAACTATAAAAAAAAAAACAGACGTACCAACCCTATAATTAATAGGAATTGAGGAAACCCTTAACACATATATATTGTATGGCTCTACAGCAGTACTGTACTTTTATTTATCATACACATTTATGAAAAAAGGAAAGCAAGTTTTCTATTGTTTAGCTTAATTATTTCATGTATATCTTAATAAACTCTACACTTTTCAATAAAAAGTCTGATGGAGTTGTCATTTTTACTTTGAATACTCCTGCTATTTGAGTGATACTATAATACTCCATTACTAGCTTACATTCCTAGTTCTGTTACATGAATGATACAGTACAGTACTTGATTACTTGTTGATGTTGCTAGAGAGTGATACTCAACTTGATTACTTGTTGATGTTGCTAGAGAGGGGTACTCTACTTGATTACTTGTTGATGTTGCTAGAGAGGGGTACTCTACTTGATTACTTGTTGATGTTGCTAGAGAGCGATACTCTACTTGATTACTTGTTGATGTTGCTAGAGAGCGATACTCTACTTGATTACTTGTTGATGTTGCCAGAGAGTGATACTCTACTTGATTACTTGTTGATGTTGCTAGAGAGTGATACTCTACTTGATTACTTGTTGATGTTGCTAGAGAGCGATACTCTACTTGATTACTTGTCGATGTTGCTAGAGAGTGATACTCTACTTGATTACTTGTTGATGTTGCCAGAGAGAGTTACTCTACTTGATTACTTGTTGATGTTGCCAGAGAGTGATACTCTACTTGATTACTTGTTGATGTTGCTAGAGAGAGTTACTCTACTTGATTACTTGTTGATGTTGCCAGAGAGTGATACTCTACTTGATTACTTGTTGATGTTGCTAGAGAGTGATACTCTACTTGATTACTAGTTACAAAAAAAAAGAATTGAGTTTCATGGTAACAGAATGTTTACATATTTTCAACAATTACAATCTTGCATATATACTGTGGATTCATTTATTTTTGTGGGTACCAATTTTCGTGGATTGATGAAAAATTATATTTTGGTTGAAATTTGATTTCATGGTTAAGCAGAAGTTTGTTTACAAGCCTACTATAGACATTTAATACTTCATTGTACATTTGAATCAAGGTTTCCCTATATGCACAAAATCAACGAAAATAAGTATCCAAAGAATAATAATTTGTAAGGGTTCCATTGAACCCAGTGTCTCGCCTACTTTTGCTGCTAGTCACAGGCTCAACAAAAATGGGGAAAAAATTATTAAAAATTTTCCTATAGATAGTATCTTTTGATTGTAAGAAGCTTCTGTCCAAGTTTGGTAAAAATCCAGAATGGTTTATCAATCTAATAAATGTTTTAAAAACTTTTAACTACAGACTGTATGTAATGTTAACTGGAAGAAAAACTAAGTCCATTTATAAGTTATAGACGGAAAAACAGGAAATAAATTTTTACAAAATTTCCTTCTAGATACTAGCTTTTGATCATAAACAAGCTTCTGTCCAAGTTTGGTACAAATCCAGGATAGTTTAAGAAAGTTATTAAAATTTCAAAAACTTTTAACCACAGAGTGAATATTTTTGGACGCCGCCACTGACGACGGAATGTATGATCACTATGTCTCGCTTTTGCGACAAAAGTCGCAGGCTCGACAAAAATGAATCCACAATATGTCAAATATTTGATAGTTTGAAACCATGTTGAAAATGGAGTGTGAATTTTTCTTAGTGTGTCTGATTTGTTTATTTACACAAGATATGCCATAGAGAGGTATAAATTGGTCCTTTTCAGATGTATTTCCTGTCAATGCAAATATTATAGTAGAATTTCGATCCTTTCACAATGGAATCGTTGGAACTAAGTAATGGCTATATCTTTAATAATTCTTTTCACAGCAATAGAATGGGTAGGACCAAATGATGGTGAAAGACACATCAAGATAAAATTTGATGAAAATAGAAAAAAAATTCATGTCAGTGATCGTCGTGGGAAACCTTTAAGGATGATAGATCTTAGAAGTCATGGGAGTAAACAAATAGACAAATTACATATTTGGGTATCAGAAGATACAGGAACAGTAATGTCAGTCAGAACTGAGGGTGAAATTGACTTGGTAAGTCATATCTATTAAGAATGCCAAAAGCTACCAAATTTATAAGATGATCCCTGTTAAGTTGAAGGGATATTGACTTGGAAAGTGATGAATGTTAAAATGAATGATTTGATGCATTCTAAATAGGTCCATGAAGTAATAATTTTAATGTTTTCATGTTAGTTTATTTTTGTTACATTATATAGTCATCCAACTTTTTTTATCAGAAGGATAGCAACATTATGCATTTGAAAATTTGAAAATTCTCAAGCTTTTTTCCTGAAGGAACATTGTATGAAAATGGTAGAAAAATTAACACTTCAAGTTCATCATATCATTCTATATGTTTGATTGAATTGTTCTCCGTTCTTTTTATAGGTACTGAAATTTAGTGATGCTATGGACAGACAGGAGTTTATACAGAAGCTAGAACCTTTCCTCCGAGGCATTGGATTATCACTGCAGAAAATTAACTTCAAAGAGGAAGTCATCAAGAAAAATGCCACAACAAAGGAACAAAGACAAAAATTACTAGATAAATTCTTCAGGATAATTTGCCTACAGGTAGGAAGCAATAACTATTAATGGCATACCTACCAGTGTCATGGGGGGATAATAACATTCACATTATTTTTGGTTACTGTGAAAGTACTTTTCATTCGTGGGGTACCAATTTTTGTGGTTTTCGTGAATGGCTTTATCCACGGATTTAAGTGTCCAACGAAATATAACAACTGTTGTCCAAATCAAGACATGGAAAATTATCTCCTCATGAAAGGTTTTACTACATAGAAACGGGCGTATCTTCTAGTGAATATCAGCAAACACACTATGAACTATATATACAACTTATATTTAATCTTTAAAAAAAAACAAAACTGTATGACTCTTAACCTTTTAATTCTTATGAAAAAACAGTTTTTATTGATGAGAGCCAGACTTCCGGTGATGATATGCGATGATGAAGTGGGCATTTTATCTCCTCATAATCCTCATATGAAAAAAAAAAAATTTCATATAGAGCTTGTTTTTATATTTCATAAGAATTAATTCTGCAATTCAAAGTACATTTGGAGTATTTTGTTATGTAACTGTTTTCCTTAAGTGACATGTTTATGGTCCAATTAATGCCTTTGATGATCGTTAATCTGTTGTTCATTCGATCTTGGGTTAATTATTGTCATCAATTCTGATTACATGTGTCCATCAATTAAAACGTTTACTTTGCAATTTCCTTCAATCGAGACAATTTGTAAGCATAGATGAATCAGCTTATATCAAAATCAATATAAAACAATATATGATTATTTTCAAGAATCTTCGATTCTGATGGCTCCAAATTCTTCACTTCTTTTTTTCATCTTCAGAAATCTAAAATCCAAGAATTTAAGAACCCCAGGAACATGTAACTTTTGCTAAAACCACGAAATTTGATACCCACGAATAAAAGTACTTTTACAGTATGTTTTCCCAAATTAGACAAAAACAAACATAGTTCTGTTTCCTGTCTCCCTACCTACCCTAAGTTTTAATGCCTACCCTTAGACATTTAATAGACATTTAAAGCACTGTGAACTGTCCATAACACTACCTACATAATCAATGTTAAAATCATCTTTACTTACCAACCTGTCCTATTTTTTCTGTAAGGAGGATATATATTTTTTAGGGGCCTGATGACAAAATTAGTCTGATTTGTCTAATACCCAAACATAAATATGGTGATGTTACAATGTCTTTCCTTTTGCCATGCAGTCACTGTTGGAATAGTATTAATTTTGCTGTAATATCCTATTTACCTAGAAAAGACTTCAGGGAATAATATATTTTTTTAGTGTTTTATTATTTTATATTTTTCTCTGTATAATGTATCAGTTTTTGAAATAATTTAAGATGTGGGAAGTACTTCAAGTCTTGTTAATGCCTCTACATGAATTTTCCTTTATTTTTAGGCTTTCAAACATACCAACATGGATGCTATGGATTTAGGTGTCCTTGACATTGAAACATCCAAGCAGATAGCTGATATTCAGCTGACTAGAACAGAATTTGCAGAGGCTCTTCAACTTAAACCAACATCACTCTTTGTTCGTAATATGTTTGTATTGGTGGATGCTGACAAGACTGGATTTATTAGCTTTAAAGAATTCTTGGATTTCTTTGTTGTTTTGTCTTCAGGTTATTAAAAATTCCTATTCTCCAATCCCTGTGTACTGTACTATGATTTATTTTTCATTTCACATTTTCACGATTCATTTTCAATATAAATACCAATATCAGATTTATTTCACCTAATTAGTTTGTTGACATCTGTTGTCCCATTGTGCTATGAATGAATGGATTCAACTGATTACTATTTAACTTATATGATAATCTAAAATTGTAAGTGCCTTCTTGGCATATTAGACAAAATATGGTAATTTTTTAGCAACTAGGATCTTGTAACTGATATTTTCTGTATCACCAAACTGCTTTTGTGATCATCAGACTTAGCTATAATATTAAAGTGACGTTAGATTGAATATGACCGGTAAACAGAAACAGCAAGTTTTGAAGGTCACTACAAAAATCTTAGCTCATCCTCTGGCACTCACTGTTATAAATATATATATTTGTTATAATTTCTATCTTGACCTTCAAAGCCACTTTTATGTTATGTTTTCAGCATTTTGTCTAATATGATTTATTTGATTATTGTAGATGATGGTGAAGGTAAAGTAGAGTTGATGTTCAGAATGTATGATACATCCAAACGTGGTGTGTTGACACAAAAACAGTTTGCATTGATGATCAAGTAAGTCAAAAAAGATAAAACAGTCTTGTCAACTTTGGTTTAGTGTATAATTGTTCAATTGGCTTTCAAACCACATTTTCTCAGTTCTTTTTTTGTTACTCTCACTTTACCTTGACCTCAGTTTCAGGCTAAAATAGTAAGGTTAAGTTATAAGGATGAGGTCTGTTCTTTGGTAACTACACATGATAAAGGTCACCAATATTTGACATGTATATATTTTCATGCTCCAGTTTTCAGGATGAGGTCCATTCCTCAGTAACTGTACATGGTAGGTTAACAATATCTGACATGTTAATTGGTTGTGAGAAGTATGTGTCTGCCTGACACATGTCTCATAACTTTTACCTTATTTTCCATGTTCCAGTTTTCAAGATAAGGTATATTCCTCAGTGAATATACATTGTGGCAAGTCCACAATATTTGGTACTGTGGTATCCTTTATTTTCGTGGTATCCAATTTTCGTTGATTTAGGAAACCTGGCATTTTCATGGATATTCGTTTTCCTGGTTTTGTCAATACATTAAATAGAAAATTTATAATTTGTTGAACATTTAAATTTGTGGTTCCCCTGTACCCACAAAATCCAAGAAAATTGATATCCAATGAATAATAATGAATCTACAGTATTTGAATTGGTTGCGAAGAGTGTCATATTTTAGTCATAATATAACATTGATATCTTGTTTTTCAATATATTAACCTCTATTGTAGGTCACTATTAGAACTGTCTGATTCTTCTTTGGAACAGAGACAGCTAGATCAATTAGTAACATCAATGTATCGGACAGCAGGAGTACAAGAGGGAAGTGACATGACATTAGACAACTTTAAGAAGATATTTGCCTCAAAGGAATATGCTCATACGCTAGACAAAGCCACTTTAAATCTTGATGGTGAATAAGTTTGCATTGAAATTTCTTATGGTCATATTGAAGTTATCAAAGCTTTTTTTTTAAATTCTGTGTCAAGAGTTTTAGATTTTTAAAAATGACTATATTAGGTATATGTATGCTTGTGATATTGTGGAAGATAGTTTTTGTTTTAACCAACTTTTCTTTTTTTTATTTAAATCATTTAAGTTTAAGAGAAAATAGAAAGGAGAGTCAGTATTTTATTTACATTGGAAAATTTGAGTTTGCTTAAGGTTTGTACATCCTCAATAGAACAATTGAAAAGACATCAGAAAAATGTCAGTGCAAATCTAAATGTGTGTTTCTTAACAAATAGTTACAACCTCATGTTATAAAATCGGTAGGGTTTTTTTCTGCACAAATTTGTCTTAAAGTATCCTCACCTTATTTAACAAGAAAGATTTGTCATTCTTATTTTCTATATGTCTCTATAGGAATTAGTATGCCAACAAAAGAAGAGGGAACTAGATCTGGGACAAGACAGACATTGAAAGCTAGAGGATCTACTATAGTTAGAGGGTACAATACCATGTAAGTTTTTTTATTTACATCTTCTCATTAATGAATTATACCTGAAAGAAAAATGAAGTTCCTGAAGACACTGCAGTAATGTGCATTTTAAAAAAAGAATTGAATAGCTTCTATTACCCTTTTTAAGTCTTTCAAATTCATTGTGAAGGAAATAAAACCTCTTCCCCAGAAACAGTTGGTGTTTACCTGGCCATTTTAGTTATTTCTGGGGAAAGGTTTTATTTGCTTTGCAATAAATGAATTTCAGTTTCCCTTTAAAAAAGCACTTTAAGGCAGAAGTATCTGGGACAAGGCTAATTACTTTACAATTGAGAGACAAATAATACTGTTCAAATTTGCTCAACTTCACTGTTTACAAAGTATTGACATGTTCTGGTTACATTATACAAAAAATTGAGTACATGGTCTGAGCTTCATATAATGCACCTAATGTTAAAACATTTTGCTTTGCTTAAAATGATAGGATTGTAGTCAAGATGAAACTGTTGACTCTGATGCAGTCCTTGAATTATCAAAAATGGATAAACTGTAACTGTTTTGTGCCTTTAAGAGAATTGTGTATTTCCTGTTTATATACAAATAAGGGGATGTGGTATTATTGCCAATGAGACAACTACCCGGTATCCACCAGAGATCAAAGGTTGGAGGATGTAAACAACTATAGGTCACTATAAGGCCTTCAACAATGAGCAAAACCCATACCATAAGGTGAGCTATAAAAGGCCCTTACATGACCAAAATGTGAAAAAATTCAAAAGAGAAAAACAACGGCCTGATTATGCTAAAAATAAAATAAACCAAAAACAAATGTGGCAGACAACAACCAACAACAATCGTTTTTGCTTAATTTACACAGGAATAATGGAAGGTAGAGACAATTTTCTTTATTGTATGACATTATTTAATTGTACATGATTTCATTTATGATATGTATGTATATATATATATATTGCAAAGTATATTGCATTTATGATATGTATGTATATATATATATATATTGCCAAGTATATTTCATTTTTGATATTTATAACATGTATATATATTGCAAAGTATATTAAATAAATGTGTTCTCAGTCCTACCCATTTTGTCTGCTTTTAATTTAAATATTAAATCCAAACAGAGATATCTACCTAATTGGAAAATAGATTCTATGAAATTGTCTCGCAATAAGAAAATTTTGAATTAATAATATTCTCCAATGTATTATCATGTAGATTTAGTAATTGGCTGTTTCAGAATCTATGCATACTGAATAATATTTTCAAACATGTACTACAAAACAGTGTGATTGGTTAACAAAGTCATGCATAATCAATGGATATGCAACCAATGGCATGATGTGGTTTTTATTTTTGTGTACAAATAATGAAATTACATTCAATTCTTTAGATTCTGAAATGGTGAATTCCTATCATTTTATATATATAATTGTCCAGTGTGTATTCATCAGGTATCACTTCTTGTTTTAGTTTTCTTCTGTAAACAATATACAAAATGGGTATGCTAGAATATTTAATATATCAATTTTATTTATCGAAACCTTATCTAGCTGTAATCTGGAGACAGGTTATTTACCATATGCATATACATCTAAAAAGTTTACAACAATAATATTAAGTAAAAAAAGGATTATTGAATAAATGATGATTATTGTCTCGCCTGCGACAAAAGTTGCAGTATACGAGACATAGGGATTACTATCCAGTGGCGGCACATAACCCCACTCGTTATTGAAAGTATTGGAAAACAGAAAGTAGGTGTCAGACAGATAAAAAAAGTGCAATGCATTGCAACTCATCACATAGTGTCCATATTCCATCAATAGGTAGTATGATAAGGTCTGATTTGTGGTTGCTTTCATTTAATGAAATGTTTTGTGAGAAGCCTGATAAAACAGATCTGCCAACGTTCCTGATTTATGGCAGATTTCCCCGATGAGAGGTGGTGAACCAACATTATAGAAACTAAATGCCTGAAAACAGGCTTTAAAAGGAGTTAAAAAATACATCTTAGCCCATTGTAATCATTTGATACCTTAGAAATTTAGATTAAAAACACTTCTGAGAGAAGAGATGCATTAGGTCCACTTGTGCATAAAATCTCCCATAGAAATTATGAAAAGATTGGGAGGAATGATAAAGTACAATATTGTGATTTGAACACTATGATGCAAATATATGAACAAGTTGAGAAAAGCAAATTTTTCAATCCTAGGAAATGATGTTAATGATTTCCTAATTATATATTATGATGGCATCATCCATAGGTTGAATTGATAGAATAGATAAATATTGTCATATCAGAATTCCAGGCAAAGAAGTTATGTTTTAATTTTAGTTTGAAAAATTCAGAGAAGGGGATTTAATGTAAGGTCAGTTAGTGTTATTATATTTTCTTCTGCATTTTTCAAGAAATATTTAAAGTTAACAATGCAATACCGTGAACATTGCTCACAAGTAGATGTTAGCTACAGCTTTGTTGTTATTTTGCATTGATAATAAAATATTTACAGAAACCCATTGATAACTGTATAAAAACCTTTATATATATTATGCTATTCAGGAAACCTGGAACAAAGAATATTAGTATGAAGAGACAACAGAGTGTGAGTGCTCCAACCAATTTTGCTGTGTATCCTAGGACAGCAGTTGGACAGAAATGGTATGCCTTCTCACAATGGGTGGCTACCTACCAATTACAGATCTTTTGGTTAACACTCTACACACTTGTATTACTTGGAATATTTTTAGAAAGAGCATTTTGTAAGTTTTCTATGTTTTTACCATCTGCATGATTTATTTGTGTAAAGTCATAAATAACAATGAAAACTACAACAATGTTTATATCCCCTTGAAAAGAAGGGTATATAATTAGGCTAATCTGGGTTCTTGGAGTATGTTTATTCAGTCATACAATGGGTAGCCAACACTGGGTCCTTGATGTGTGTTTATTAAGTCCTTCTGCTAGGAGGGGCCTTGGTGGCCTTTCATCTACTGTATCACTAGCCTGTCAACACTGACATGGCAGGTGCATTTCACTGCAATCTTAATTGACTAGGATTGCAACCAGGAAAAAGCCAATATGGCTGAATGTGGTGTTAAACACCAAAAAATCAATCAATCGTTGTGTGTTTATTCAGTGTCTCTGCTAAGTAACAGACACTTTGTTGTTGTTGTGTTTGTTCAGTCCTTCTGTTAGTTAATCAACACTGGGTCCTTGGAGTGCTTTTTCAGTCCTGCGATGGGTAGTCAACACTTGGTCCTTGGAGTGTGTTTATTCAATCCTGCTGCTAGGTAACCAACAGTGTGTTTATTAGCTCACCTAGCAATGTGAGCAATTTTGCTGTTATTTTGAAAACTGTAGGAGTTAGGTTAAAAGTGTATGCAAAAATGATCAGCATGACAAGATCTATCAACTCTGAAAACTTTTCTGGAGTTATTTCCCCTGAAATGTTGATTTTTGTCCCCCGCGTAATGCGTTGCGGGGGACATGGAAATACCTGGCGTGTGTCTGTCCGTCCGTCCTGTCTTGTTAGCGCTCTCACAGGTACGAATTCTTGCCAGATTTTTATAAAACTTATACTATAAGTTAATATCAGCAATATCAAAGTTTTTTAAAAGAGTTATGCCCCTTGGAAATATAAAATATGTGCAACATGGGGACATCGGAACGTGCATTACGTTAATGTTTTTACATTTTGTTTTGTTGGGGCCTTTTAAAGCTTGCTATGCAATATGGGTTTTGATCATTGTTGAAGACTGTATAGTTACCTATAGTTTCTAACTTCTATGTCATTTGATAAATGGTGGAAAGTTGTTTCATTGGCAATCATACCACATCTTCTTATTTTTATATCAATCAATAATGACTCCGGGAAACTTAACTGAAGGGTATATAGTAGGGGTACTATGGTTCCATGGCATGAGTCTGTTCAGTCCTTCATAAACATTGCTTTGTAACTACGATTCAGATGGAATGAATGAATTAGGTAAGAAAAAAGTGGTCAATAGACAACTGTTAGGAAATGGAGTGTACGCATTCTGTCCATTGATATGGTAATAGACAATGTTATAAGACTGTGTCTGTTCAGTCCTACAATTATATAACACATGATGAGGTATTGATGTAATAGATTGGGCTGTATGTTGCTTCCTACGTGGCAGGTGCGCTCGACTTCAATCTTAATTGACTAGGATTGTCAGTTTTCCTACCGAATGTCGGTGGTTCTCTCTGGGCACCCCGGCTTCCTCCACTAATAAAAACTTACCACCACGAAATAGCACAATAGTGCTGAAAGTGGCATTACCAATCAATCAATCAATCAATCAACCTATATAAAATGTATACTTGGTTGAACATTTAAATTTGTGGTTAACCTTTACTGATGAAATCCAAGAAAAATAGGTACTCAAATGATATTGATTGATTCACAGTACATTAATGTTTGTATACTAACTTGGAAATGTAAGAACTTGTGTACAAGAAGTATTATTTTAGCAATATAATTTGAATAGAAAATTGTCTAATTTATCAACATATATAAATATTTGCAGACTATGCCTTTGAGAGAGAACATGCTGGACTGAGAAGACTTGCTGGTGATGGAGTTACTACAACTAGAGGAGCAGCTAGTGCTATGATGTTTACCTACTCAACTTTACTCATCACAATGAGTCGCAACATGATCACGTTTTTCAGAGAGACATTTTTACACAGGTTCTTCCCATGGGATTCTATGCATTTTTTCCACAAATATATTGCTGCTTTGGCTTTAATTTTTACAAGTAAGTGGCTATTCTATCAGTTCATCATATATTCTTCACTGGAAACAAATTATATGTAAAAGTGATGTTATTTAAAATAAAATTAAGTTATCTTAGATTTTGTCTTGCCTCAACAAAGTCCTGGAAACGATACTTTGGCAAGCTGTTAACGGAGGCATCAACAATTTGTAAAAGTTTGATTTTAAGTCAGTTTAAGGGGAACAGCTAATGGTTAATTAATGATATTTGGTATGCAGTTGTATTAGTATTGACACATCTCATGTCCATGGAGATTATATGGCCCCACCCCTCAGTCATGGTCTACCATCTTTGAAACTTTTGCATAATTTACATGTTAAAGTTTGTTATAAGCTAGGTCAGTTAAAGGGGAACCACTTACAAAAGTCAATGATATTTAGTATGCAGTTGTATTGGCATTGACATATTTCATTTCAACTGAGATTATTTGGTCTTACCCCCTCAGACAGGCTTCACTGGCTTTGAAAGTGTTGCCCCGTTTTAATTTCAGCATTTACAATAGATATGCTCTTGTCATTCACAGAAATAAGATGGTTGAATTGATCTATCAACATATATATATATATATCAAGTTTATTACTGGTTGAAGGTTGATGTTTCCCTAATACACAGACTTCCTTTTCCCATAAAAATAATGACCCCAATGAAATTGTTAATGTAAGAAAAGTAACATTATACTTCATTAAAACAAAGATAAAGATCAATTATGATCTATTGATTTAAAAAAAATTACCCCAAATTTGAATGGCATACTGTACTAAATACTATGATTTTTACATCGTGCAGCATATTTCTGTATCTTCTTTGGAAACCTTTCCATAGCAAATTTGTATAGCTTTTAAGATTATTTCTTTACAGTTTTACATTGTATTGGTCATGGGTTCAATTTATACCATATCTCCACGCAAGCTTCTGGCGATCTCAACTGTTATTTCACCGAATACTTCAGAGCGTAAGTATATGATAGTCTTCTTTTAAAAAAGTAATGTTTGTCCTCAAAAGAAAATCTAGAGCTTACTACCTACAAATAGTTTGTCTCAGAAATGTCGTCAGACGAGTAATAAGCAACAAACAAACAAAATTTAAAGAAGATAAATGTTTGAATATACCATAAACTTGAAATCTATTTCTCTAAATGAAAATAAATGCAAAATAATAATTGTCTTACTGAACAGGCATATTGGCTTTTAAAATATCTCTCTATATGAAAATTGACACTTTGAACTAAATCCCATTTAGATCTGTTTGAATTCCTTGAGTGTGGTAACTTTCATAAGTCAAACAATATGTATAACCTGTTTCTTTTGTAGTACTGATGTATTAGCCTCATTCCAATATTGGACTTACAATACAATAACAGGTAAAATTCTCAACTAATCAATTAAGAAAGTAGAGTTTAAAATTTTTAATACATTTTTCAGATTTCTTTTTTTGGTATTTTAGCTTCAATGTGTTATATTTGCTATTACCACTGCTTGTTTTAATCTTCTGAATGACATGACATGATGATGAAGTAGTATGAAAAGAGATGCTGAATGAACGTTCATAGTATAGAACCTACACAAACTACTGTGGATTCGTTAAATGGGTGCCAGTTGCCAATGTCAATCATTGAACATTTAAATTCGTGGTTAATCTGTACCCACAAATCCACTAAATTTAGTATCCAACAAATAATAATGAATCCACAGTAATAGATAGAAATGCATATTATCCAATACATTACCTTTGAATACAAAGATCAGCATAAACAAAAAAAGATCCCAAAGAATAGAGACAATGTCATGTACAAAGAAAACAAAAAAGTAAAAAGGCCTGCACAAACAAATGGTGAAGAAATTTTTTTAACCATGTCAAGTGGCAAATATTTCATGAAATTTATTTGTATTTAGGACAAATCAAACTATAAGTACCATAAAACCTCCTAGCAAAGGAAAAGTCACAATAGAAATTTGCAGAAATACAGCAGTTTCATTTAGAATTGAAACTTCTTTTTTGGTACTTTTTTTGGGGGGGTTTAAAAGCATTGACAGAAGCACATTTTGTATGAAACACTGAAGAGCTTCATGCTGAAAATGTGCACACAATCAACGATTTTAAAACACTTTAAAAGTACAAAAAGAAGCATTCACTTTCCTTTAATGACATTTATATTCCACAACCTTATATTACAAGTTAAATCAAGTTTTTCTTTTCGTTTTCAAATGCATTGTTGTGATGTTGTCATGAGAAGCATGTGCAGTCATCAATGTTGCATTTTATTGAGAAATAAAATATAAATCTGAAATACCTGGTGATTGTGGTCAGCTACTGAAAAGTATGGATACTTATGAAACATACATGTAATGTAATTATTTTAATATTAGACAGTTAAATTACTGTCTTATTTACTATTTCAGGTTTTACTGGTGTCCTAGCAACGATTGTTGTTATCATCATGTATGTGTTTGCTATGCCTTATGCTAGAGCTCATGCATTCAAAGCATTCTGGATAACCCATTCTTTTTACATCATCCTGTATATTTTGATGATACTCCATGGTACAGGAAGACTTGTCCAGCCTCCTTTGTTCCAGTGGTACTTTATTCCTCCGATGATAATCTTTATCATAGACAAATTGATCAGCTTGAGTAGAAATAACATTGAAATTACTGTTAAAAAGGCAGAGTTACTTCCCTCTGGTAAGTGATACACTATATGAAGAAAAGGAGACGTGTGGTATGTGTCAATGAGACAACAACCTAACAACATAAAAATGACAAAACTTCGTCATTAAATGACTGATGTTTCACCAAGGAATAACAGTCAACATGATTGAAAAATGCACACTTGTTATTATTAACCAAATTTAAGCTAATTTCTTTGTTTTAAAAGTCATTTATGAAGGAAATGAATCCTAGAATTAATTAAAGGGAGATAAGTCATGATCTTACTGCAGAAAATAATTGTATGGAAATCCAAGAACAAATCCTAATCCAGTGGAGACAGCCATGTTTTTTTTCTATTTGGCATATTTAATACATGTAAAAACAGCCTCACATAACCATTTGTTCTATCCAGTACTATTTTTATTGGAAAACTCTCATCTAAAGTAGATTACTTGATCTTTTTTTCATTGAACTTGTTTGAAATTACTTAAAATCCAGTACATGAAATGATTGTAAATTAGTTAAAAGTTTGACTTATTGTAGATGTAACTGCCCTAATTTTCAAGAGACCTGCCAACTTTGAATACAAATCTGGTCAGTGGGTGAGAATTTCCTGTTTAAACCTTGGATCTAATGAGTACCATCCATTCACCCTTACATCAGCTCCACACGAAGAGAACTTGAGCTTACACATCAGAGCTGTCGGACCATGGACCACAAATCTAAGAGCTGAATATGATGCGAACAACCTGGAAACTGGACAAGAAATACCTAAAGTAAATTATATTGCATGAAATTGTGTTTTTTGTTTGAAAGAATGGGAATATATATATTTTAGGATGATTATAACTAGTTGATAAATCTAAGATGAAAGAGAAGTAGGTGCTTACTTATGCCAATCATCTTTAGGATCATTAAATATAGCATTTTGTTTTTACTCAGACTTCAGTATGCTCACATTTTGTATGACGTGTCAACTTTACAGTGCAATTTTTTTATTTTTAACACACTATTAAAGTTAAGATTCATTATTATTTATGATGAATTTCAAGCCAACTGAAACAAAGATAAATTCTGATACTTGATATAAAGTCCATTAACTTTAATTTCTTTGCTTGAATTGGACAGACATTTTCTGTTTTAGCTTTATTTAGACAGACAATTTGTGTTTTAGCTTTAATTTGACAGACAATTTGTGTTTTAGCTTTATCTAGATGGCCCCTATGGAGAAGGTCACCAGGATTGGTACAGATACAAAGTGGCCATATTGGTTGGTGGTGGTATAGGAGTTACACCATTTGCTTCCATTCTCAAGGACATCGTTAACAAATCAAAAATTGATGAAATGAGATTCCCTTGCAAGAAAGTAAGTTATATTAGTTTTCTATGTAAAAAACTATAATATTAACTAGGATTCCTTAAAAGTGAGCTCAGCAGTTGTGTGCATTCCTCAGCAAAATCTGATGTCAACCATCAGGAAAAAGACTTATATATTCAGAAACCCTCAATTTGGTTACATAATGTTCCTTATTTTACTAATGGGAAATTGCAATATAAATTTGTTTGTGGAGTCAAACGGATAATTTTTTACTTAAAAGGAAATTTTATGTGTTTGTTTTGTTTTTTATTACGCTTACATTTAAACCTTCAAAATAACAAAAATCAATTACTCCAGTTATGGCACAGTGGTTGTACTTTCTTAAGGTAACTAGACAAAACATTTTATATGGTCTTATAATGCTCAGTATGTAAGAACTTCTTTCTTAAAGTAACCGGAAAACAGAAACATTTGAACTGATAAAAGACATCACATCAGAATAATACTAAAGGATTTGTTTGGTATTGTAGGTATATTTTCTTTGGGTAACAAGAACACAGAAACAATTTGAATGGATGACAGATATTATAAGAGAAGTGGAACAGAATGATGCTAATGGATTTGTGGACACACATATATTCATTACGCAGTTTCAGCAGAAATACGACATCAGGACAACCATGCTGGTATGTTTTAGAAGAAGTATTGAATAATTAAACTCCAATCATCATTAAATATCTAAGGTCATCAACCCTCAATATATGTTAAAATCCCTCTTAATTTCATGCTCTAAATAGGTTAGATTTTGAAAATAATTATCCTGGCCTGATAAGAACTGAAAATAAATAGTCCTACTTAAGACTGGATGGCAATTAATATTCTACAACACACAATGCAGGGAATAATTCTGTACAAAAGTGAAAACAAATTTTCTCGCAGCAAAAAAATAAGCATGCTAAGTAAGCCATCAAATGAAAACAAATATTCAATCTGCAAAAAATTCTCCTGCCTCCCTTTCGAATATCAAATGGTGGTCCCCTAATGTTTGATATATATGTGTTCATCCTTTTCATTTAGAGATCTAATATTATAAAATTATTGTTTTCAAAGCATACTATGGACTCACTGTTCTTCGTGGGGTACCAATTTTTATGGACTTCTTTAATACAGGTAAACCATAAATTTAAATGTTCAATGAATTGCAAATTGTCTATAGGCTTGTATGTCCATTTTGGCAAATCCACGAAATCAAATATCCATAAAAAATGTAAATTTTCATCAATCCACGAAATTTGGTACCCACGAAAATAAGTGAGTCCACAGTATATAGAATTTGGCTTTTTTGGCTCTTTTTGACAATATACAATTATGTTATAATAATATGTATATTTAAAAATTATATTCAACTTTCATTCCAGTACATTTGTGAGAGACATTTCCAGAAAGTAGCTGGCAGGAGTTTGTTCACCGGGTTGAGTGCTGTTACACATTTTGGCAGACCTAAAATGACAGATATATTGAGAAATATCAAGTTGGAACATCAAAATGTAAGGCTATGTAGACTGACAAGATATTTAATGCATTTAAAGTGAATTGTATAATAACAGGTTAACAGGTGGATTGAGGAATATGGGTTAGATGGGACCTTCTATTGGACCCTTTGCATTAGAAAATATCACATATTTGTGATATTTTACACCGATCTTAGAACTTAATCTGTGTACCATAGTAAAGAAATATGGAAATGGACTGTTTGATGCACATTTATATAAAAGTTTTGAAAGTCAATGATATTGTAAACATCTTTTTGCTGATACTTTTTGAGCAATAAACTTGTCTCTTTATGGCATTACAGAGATTTATTTTTACAATTTTCTATTTCCACGTAAATAAATTGCTCTTGACAATTGGTTGATTTACACTTATGAAACTAAAAGTGGTTAAAAAAGAAAGCCAAAGTAGTCTTTGGTCAACACTGCCATAGGATTTTGGAACAATATAGAAATAAGAACATGTGGTATTATAGCCAAACGACAACTATCCGTATATATTTTTTTGTAAAAAATACAATAAATATATATATATATATAATAAAAACTATAACACAATTTTCCATACGTTTCGGCCATTACGGCCTTCTTCATTGGAATAAATTACAACATTGAAACAACAATTACATTGCTTGGATACATTACGTTATAATAACTACATAATATATATAAAACGTCTAGATATTAGTCAATGATCTTTCTTACGAGGGCTGGATCGTTACGAGTAGCGATACCTGCACACAATAAATAAAGTGTACAAAACAACACCAATTTAAAAAAAAAGGAAACATTAAATGTAAGTATCTATAAATATTTTGGATAATCAGATACCGTAAATTGGGAAATTTTGGCGTCAGGATATTTTGGCAGTTTTCACTCGAAAGGCATGTGTTTTATTTTGGTGTGTGTAATTTTGGTGCTTCGTCCAATTGATGTGTTTAATTTTGGAACAAGAGAAGTGTGCGAGCACATTCATATTTGCCCTTATTTACCCGTTTACGTTTATTGACAAAATATCAATGACCTACACAAACTAGAAACACGACAATGTTAACTAAATGAAGGAATCGGATACGAATGCAATTGCAAATAATTCTGTATCTCGGTGTGGAAAGCCAAAAAAAAAGTGATTTTAAATAGGTTATTTATTTTTTACAAAAATCATATGAAATAAATTTTAATCATTATCTCTATTGCAGTACATGTTAATGATTGACTATCAAGGATTTAAATTTTAATCCTTATGCCTCTGGCAGTACATATTAATTAATAGAAGATAAAATAATACAAGGAGTTTTGATATTCTAATTACCAATAACGGCTTCAAATCAGCAAAAGCCTGGCATATTTATGACATGTGTGAATACAACTTCATATTGTGTTTTCTTAACAATTTCAGAAAATTGACAATTAAGTAAAAATTATATAGTGTTGTCAAATTATACCAGGTATTTATTTGCAGATTTGGCTATGTATAGAATTATAGGAAATATACGAATGATCTAATTGCATAAGATATTTTCTACAACAATTAACATTACGATATTGTCGTACCGGTCCGTGATTTTGGCGTTTCAATTTTTAGTGTTTGCTTTATTTTTGTGTGTTTAATTTTGGCACTTTCATTGGAGGCACCAAATAAACCAAAATAACCCAACTTACGGTATCCTTCATTAGTATGTTTATGATGTAAAATGAATCATATCAATCTATTCTGATTTAACTATAACAATCTTTAAATTTATACAATTAAAACCGAACAATGCTTGTACAATTCTAAAATTTCAAAAATGACATAGGTTAGGTATTTACAACAGAGACTGCATAGATATGCTTCTAACAAAAATAGTAATGTGCGATATGAAATGGTACATTTCTAAAATTTCAAAGGTGACCAAAGTTGAGTTATTACAACAAAGACTGCGTAGAAATACATTCCCAATAAATAGGACTGACCCATTTGAGCTGGTATAATACTCAAATTTCAAATTTGACGAAGGTAAAGTAATTACAAAGTTTGTCCATATCGAATTAGATTTGTAAGATCATAGTTATATTTGGTATGATAGTCTGTTAACATGGTACATCGTTGTGCTGCATATGTTGAGCAATGGAGTACAAAATGAGTCATCTTCAACCGAGCCTGACTTGCATATCTTACATAAGCGTCTTTCTGCAGAAATTCCTCGATTTCTAACGGGAACACTCTGCATCTTAGTGGAGCAATCACCGATCTTTCTTGTCGAGAGATGTTCATTTTCACACAAGGTTGCACCCTAGAATTTCAGAGTTGACAAAGGTAAAGGAATAGCAACAGAGACTGCGTAGTAATATGTAATATAACAAAATACATCTTTACATCTATACTATAGGTCACAATGTATGACAATTATTTGTTGTTATTACAGGTGAATGTATTTGGTGTATTTAGCTGTGGACCTGCTCCTCTAACCAGAGGTCTAGACAGAGCATGTGCTGATATGAATAAAATTGAAGGAGCTGTTTTCCATCATCACTTTGAGAACTTTTAATGAAATGACATCTAAGTTTAATCATCCAATAAAATGAGTGCTTTTTATTAATTTCTTTATTAGCTCTGTTGAACAGAACTAAGCATAAGGAACTAATGAATATATTAAAAGTTCAGTGTTATATTCAAACTACCTGTATGCTATAATGTTTTTGACAAATGAAGGTGTTTAATGATTTTATTTCATTAAGTTAAAAATGGGGATTTGATAAAGATTTTTATATGTGATTTAACTCATAATTATTAACACATTTTGCTATAAACATTAAAAAATTGTGTTTTTTGATAAACATGTAATGTCTAGTACAATATATAAAAATTTCCTATTTTGGGGAAATCTGGGAATTTTTATCTCATCTAAGTCATTTATCATAAAATTATGGTAATAATGCCATTGCAAAAGAAGTAAGTGTATAAAGCAGCTTTCTTAATTTTTATCACTATATTTTTTGTCAAATATGTTTCATATTTCTGGACATGGTTTATAATATGGTGAGCTGCCAGTTTATTGATCTGCCAATCAAATTGGCTTCAGACATTTTCATTCTAACTTGTACAGTTAAAACTGACTAAACAGGACCCAACAAGTCCTAAAAAATCAAATGAGTTTACATTTTTTGAGTGTGTTTTCTGGTGCATAGGTTTAGTTTAAACAGTTGTTATTGTTAATAAAGGTACTTATATAATTTTTTTGACATATCTTAAGTATACTTTTTATGCATAATTATATATATATATATAACTTTTTATATATTTTTTGTCTCTTTTTTAAAAAGATTATTTGTTAACTTTTAGGAACAAAGCAAATATACATGCATAAAGCTCACTGGCATGTCACAGAGATATTTTTCAAAATGAACCATCTAAAGACAAGGAAAAAATATTTTATCCAAAAGAAGAAGGTATAATAAGGCCACAATTTTGGCCCACCTGAATAGGAAAATCAAAATAGTATAATATATATATATATATATATTGAGAAGCTACCCCTCTACATTGGGGGCAAACACCAGCTGGTTATAAAGGTTTGCGTCATACAAACTATACAATATATACAGTGTATGTAAAAAAATCACATCACTGTAAAATTAAAAATGTCAATATAATCTTAAAGTACAATAAATCTGCTAAATAACGTCCTTTAGATGTCCATAAGACATTAGACTGTCAATCATCAGTATCTTACATGTTTGCATTTTGGCTTCAAATAATTTGCATTTAGTGCAAAACTGCCAAAATGGCCAGATTTTAAGGTCTTGTTTTTATTGAAATATTATTTAGATATTAGCCAAGGCTTTACCCAAAATTATATTTTGTTACAAGATGTGTTTTACAAAGATGCTAATGTGTGTAAAATATCTTTTTGGATATTAGGCCTTTGCTCATATTTACTTTGACCAAAAACTACATGCAAAAATAACAATTTCAACATGTTTATGATGTCATATTCACATCACAAGGGACCTTTCTGTGCTTAAATATCCAGATAATATCAATAACCAATATTAACATTAACTATAATTTACCAATTAAAGGAACATAAGCTTAAAAGCCTTGAATAATTGTATATTTTTTGCAATTTCAGAGCAAAAAATAATGGCCTTCTCCTTTATACATTATATAATTGTATTTCAATGAAACTTTAGCCTCCTAAATTATGATTAAATGTGTTTTGAAAGAAAATTAATTGTACAAGTAAAAGGTTAGATAGTATTACTGAAAAAGGGTGTGTCACATTTATTGACTTCACTTGTGTAGAAAAAATCCTCTACAATTATAGACTGGTGGTTGATTTGTTTAGTTTTGTATGGTTGGATCACTAACTACAATAATGTCTATCATAGAAACCATTTTTTAATTAATTGTGGAAATATTTTCTTTATTTTTGGGTTGCTCTTAACAAATTATGCTAAATAGGTTTTTGGAATGGTCATTCAATTTCTGCAAGATTCCTGTTACTTTTGTACTGATTTCAATAAATTTTAGGAACGTTTTATTTCAATATTGATTTAAAAAGTATAATGTTGATGGCTTGTCAGCTTATTCAAGGTTTTTTTGTCTCAAAGATATGGAAATTGAGTAGTAAGTGTGGAGCTTATACTCCGAAATGTTACTTAAAATAAAAAATACATATTTTTTATATTTCTTTCCGTACTTCCAAATATATATAAATATATGCAGGAATGTACAAATGTACATTGAATTATTTGTTGTTCATTGTTCATATTGCTTTATTGTTATACTCTCTCAAAATAAAGTTTATTATAATGTTGAGAAGTGTTGGTGTTCTATGAATATGTAAGGCTATATATTCTTCACCTGTCCGTCCATACCTTTGTCACTTTGTTGTCAAGTTTCCATAGTGATTTATTTTGCCCCTAAAATTTTAAAGTGTAATAAAACACGATTCCATAACGGTTTTATTTCCATAACTAGTTTTTTTTTTTTTTACATCTCTTATTCTTTTATGTCCCTGTTTACCAAACCAGGGATATTATGGTGAAACTGCCTTTTTGTTCATGGGTACTCTCTTTTTATCACCAACTCCTACAAAACTGATGGGCAGATTTATATAAACTCAGAGAATCCTTAGTTTCTATGACATGGTGCACATGTTATTTATTTAATTTAAACTATTCTTTGGATGTTCAATTGTAAAACATTTAGATAGCCATATTTATAAAAGTGTGGACCAGGTATGAATTTATGAGCCCTGCTAAAAATATTCCTTTTTGTGGCCTCCTTATTTCCCCAGATTTTTACTTGAACATGCCCTGATATTCCAAATCTTTCTTTTTTTTTTATATATATAATGAATTGATTTATACATTAACTTTTTATTAATTTACTTTGCAGTGCTTGAGATGTCTGTATCTATTCTTTAAGTATGTGATGGGGCCCATATTTGGCCCAAACTGAGAGCCAATTTATAAGTTGCCATACATGATCTTAAATTTGCCTACACATGACTTCTGTAAAAGATGTTCGCAATTTTCCCTTGTATCAACATTTGAGCATATTTGGATTGGAATAGAATGGATGTACCAAAATAACAGCTGTATATTTTTTGAGATTATGAAAATAGCTATGAGAAAGATTTTGTAAATTTCTTTTCCTTTAGATTATTTGGACAAAAAATGGCATTAAAACAGCATTTTGCATTATCATTTAATGCATTTCACCATGTTATGAAAAAAAATGATGTGGTTCTAAAAAGCTTCAATTCCTTAAGCCAAAATGGGTGTTTATACTCCACCTCCGTTATGGATTAATATTAGGGCATCTGAAAGGCAACATGAGCTGTTGTCCTCATTTGACTTCGTTTTAATAAATATATTTTAATCTTATTAAGTTATTTGAGCCATTTGGAGCAAACTAGGCAGCAATGGTAGGTTGTAATTTTTCAGATATGATCAAGATAATCCTGCCTGTCATCCAAGGTGGCAGCATTTACTCAAATAATAAGTTCTACAAAAAAATCAACATGAAGAATCCTGAAATGTCTTATAAAGAGTCAACTGCTACTAAACTTAAGGTAACAGTAATGGCTTGAGGAACTATATTATAACAACTACAGTCAGTTTAAAAATTTGAACAAAATCCGGTTGATCATGACATCATATGCCTTTCATGACTTCTCCAATGAACCCCCAACTCCCTTTTTTCCAAATAAAAACAAGAGGCTCTCAAGAGCCTGAATCGCTTACCTGTATTTCAGAGGAGAAGATTTTTAAATGTTTGCAAACTTGATGAACAAATTGTGTAAAATTGTCTTTAAAGGGCAATAACTCCTTAAGGGGTCAATTGACAATTTTGGTCATATTAACTTTTTTGTAGATCTTACTTTGATGAACATTATTGCTGCTTACAGTTTACATATATCTATAGTAATATTCAAAATAATAACAAAAAACTGCAAACTTTTGTTAAAACTACCAATTCGGTGGCAGCAACCCAACAATGGGTTGTTCGATTGGTCTGATAATTTCAGGGCCGATAGATCTTGATCAATTAAACAAATTTACCCCATGTCACATTTGCTCTAAAAGATTTAGTTTTTGAGATATAAGCCAAAAACTGCATTTGACCCTTATGTTCTATTTTTAGCCATGGCGGCCATGTTTGTCGATGGATACAAACTTCGGATACAATTTATAAACAAGATACCCTAAGGAACATTTAGTTAAAGTTTGAAGGTAATTGGCCCAGTAGTTTCAGAGGAGAAGATTTTTAAATGTTAGCAAACTTGATGAACAAATTGTGTAAAATTGTCTTAAAGGGCAATAACTCCTTAAGGGGTCAATTGACAATTATGGTCATATTAACTTTTTTGTAGATCTTACTTTGCTGAACATTTTTGCTGCTTACAGTTTATATATATCTATAATAATATTCAAAATAATAACAAAAAACTGCAAAATTTTGTTAAAACTACCAATTCGGTGGCAGCAACCCAACAATGGGTTGTTCGATTCGTCTGAAAATTTCAGAGCTGATAGATCTTGACCAATTGAACAATTTAACCCATTGTCAGATTTGCTCTAAAAGCTTTAGTTTTTGAGATATAAGCCAAAAACTGCATTTGACCCTATGTTCTATTTTTAGCTATGGCGGCCATGTTTGTCGATGGATCAAAACTTCGGATACAATTTATAAACTAGATACCCTAAGGAACATTTAGTTAAAGTTTGAAGGTATTTGGCCCAGTAGTTTCAGAGGAGAAGATTTTTAAAATAGTTTACGACGACAGACGACGGACGACGACGGACGCCAAGTGATGGCATAAGCTCACATGGGGCCCTTCGGGCACCGGTGAGCTAAAAACCCCAAAAAACAACCCATCCTTTTTTCACGAACCAATGACACTGGAATCAATTGATCTAAATCAGTTACCGTGACATACAATTGCAATTCTCTACTGCACTCTACATTTTGAAATTGGAGAAACATGCTAAAAACTAGTTCAATGTGATTGTCCCAAGTCGGTGGTTGTTAATAGAAGTGAGAATGGAAACGGGGAATGTGTCAAAGAGACAACAACCCGACTAAAGAGCAGAAAGTATTATATATCTTGGAATTCGTTTCTATGCATTTAAAAAGAAGACAGTGTTACAAGAACCATTAATTGGTCCCTGAAATTGCAAATAAATTAAAAATTGCATTCCTTTCAAAAGTATGTAAATTATATTGACAACTGAACAGGATAATATTCTGTGGACTCATTTAAGTAGCTAAATTGTTGTATATATCATGTTGATAAAGTTTGATATTGGTGCAACTTGAATATAAGATATATATTCACACTTTACAAAATAGACTGGTTGTGTCTCTTAATATTTCTGTACTAAACATGAACTTTGACACCTAGTCAACTAAAACTTCCTAATCAACAGTTCCACTGCAGTCTAGCACTAATAGTTTTGGTTCAATACATTTCTCTTCCATATTAGATTGTTGTATAAGGTCGATGATCTTGATGCTTTACCACTTTCTTTCTATATCAACATTTTGTGATGTTGGATTTATCCGTTTGATTGGTTTAGTTCTCATTTTTAGACGGGAATGTCAAAAAGTTTGATTACAACTCTTTCTTATTGCTTTAGAGGGCGAATCATTTCTATCTTACATACACTTTATATATACCACGAATACCCAACATCTTCTTTTCCCGATCTCTCTGAATCTTTCTGTGATGTGTGAACACTGTAGAGGGTGGAACGCTACCAGCTAGCCCATCACTGAAGTTAAATGTTTCCATGGTTTTGCTTTTTTTGACTGAAAGAATGAAAGCCTGTGAGAGAGTGATTCACTTGACACTGTTATATAAATTGTAATAATGGAAAAAGAATAACTCGGTGTGACAAGCTTTATTATTCGTTTTCTTATTAATTGTTTAGCAAATGCGGAGAGAAAATTATATTTCGAACGAGTTTAATGGTCAAGGTCGAATTGTATCTTAGACTGGTTTAGAATATAATGGTATATGAATAATCCTAATAATAATATATATGTCAAGAAAGTTAGGTGACAACCATAAGATTTTCTTTGATGTTTTTTTTTTTTTTTTTTAGGCGAATGGAATAATAATTTTTATCTGTTTCTAGTATACCTGGGACTATTATACTAACGCAAGGACGTATAACTAACATACCATACGTCCTTGACTAACGTTACGACTTATTTATTTTCGTTCTTGTAAACAGCTATTTCATGCGTTATCCTGCACTTGGTAGGACAGAATATTCATTTTCATCCTCTCTTGGGAAAAGGTATTCAATTCAAAGCAGTTATTACCAGGCCAGAGTATTCATTTCCCAAATCCTCCTTCCAGCAAAGAACGTTAAATGGTCGTCTCATGTTGCGAATCATTGTCGATGTTCAGTCAGATAAGTCGCTTGAAAATTATTTGGTAAATGTAATTCTCCGTAGATTTAATTTTCTGTTCATTGTTGTTAAGATCCTAGCTGGTATATATAGGGGCATAGGTATTCACATTAACGGAAAGGAATTATGTAAACCAATTTAACATTATATTCAACAAGTTTAGACCATGCGCGTAGCTACGTTTACGTCAAAACGCCCGGGCGTGCACATAAATTCTGAAGAAAAAAATATTTTAACCCAAATAAATTAAAAGAACTGATTATAAAAGCACACGAGCCTTGAAATTCTTTCTTCAATGACTTGTAATTGAAGATAAAAGATAAAGTGACGAAATTTACTTTTTAATCAAATTGTGTCATATTATTTTGTTAGGTACTTTTTGTTCATATAGTTCTGCAACTGTTTCAGTTGTTATACATCCTCGGCTTTCAAATATTCGGTTCTGAGCGTTCCTGATGAAGGTAAATCCAGAAAAGCGCTTCATACGCATGACATTAATAACGAGTTGTTTTCATTTTTTACAGCACTGGGTCGATACCTCTGCTGGTGGACTATCAGTCCCCGAGGGTATCATCAGCTCAGCAGTCAGTACTTCGGTACTGTCATGATTTATATCGAACATTTCTAAAACTGTCCGTTTATAAATTTTGAAATTATAAAAAAAACTAAGCTGTCAACTCCCTCAGGCAAAGTTGACCTTAGATGAATTTGGTTGTTTTTAGGTACTTTTTGGTCAGATAGCTCTGCATGCAAATGTTTCGGTTCTTATACAGAAAGTAAATCCAGAAAAGCGCTTCGGACGCATGAAATTTATAACATGTCGTTTTCATATTTTATATTATATATTTGTTCATTTTCTGTAAAAGCCTGAATCTACTGTAAATTCTACTTGC